TAGTATAGTATAGTATAGTATAGTATAGTATAGTATAGTATAGTATAGTATAGTATAGTATAGTATAGTATAGTATAGTATAGTATAGTATAGTAAAAGCAATTTACATGTTTTCAGAACCACCGAAATTAGTGCAATATTTTTTTTTATTCTTCACTTCACTTTTGGTATGTAGGTACATACTTTATTCCCTCGGAAATAAAATCGTAAAATACCGATTTTTACTTTTTAAATAAGCTAGAATTGAATAAATTGAACCCGATATGCTTATGAGTGTTTTTTGAGATAAACAAACTTTTTGATACCGATTTTTACTCTGAAAATTGAATAAACTAAATATTTTGACAAATTATTTGATATTACTTGTTTGACAAATTTATCATTAGGTACTTTAGTTTGTGAGAAGGAAAATTTTGTATGCATCTATGAAATAAACATTGGTTATTTCTCTAAAAATTATTGCTTCAAGAGCGTTCATATTTTGTATCTACTTATATTTTTCATTCCGGCTTCAGTTTGCAAAATACACCAAAAACGAGATTAAATATGACGGCGAATCACGTCAGAAAAAAAACCTTATTTCTGCTTGCCAATACAATAGCAAAAACAATACTTTTACTTTAAAATATTAATGTAATGCCATTTTTTTGGCATATAACGTTAACTGTGTTCGAGTTCGAGACCAAACATCCCGTATATCTATCTATCTACTTGTTACTTAAGTCTTTTATTATTTATTTTTATTGAACGATTGACAAATTTTGTGGTAAATTTCTCCAATATTTGACCACACACGTGTTATATAAAATGACGTTCTAAGTATGCTTGGTGTTTCTAGAAACGGTCGGAATAGTTAGATGCAACTTCCAAGTAGCATCTATACGTGAAAATTTTAATGCGCTGCAATGCATCACACCTTTTACAAACACGCGTACCCGACTGCCTACCCGCAAGGCAAAATTGTAGAATTGTGTCTTGGAATGTACTAAACAAATCGCTATAGGTAGAAATTAGTATTCGTATGAATAAATCGAAGCAATCAAAAAATAGGACAGGATAATAAATCTAACACTTGCGTTATATTTAGGGCAAATGATCTGATTAGCGATGGGTAAACACTCACAGTGGCGTAACGAGGGGGGAGTTTTGCAAGTTAAAAAACACTCTCCCGAGAACAATATCAAGCAAAATTATTTCCTAGTGAAAATAAAACATATACATTCAAACTTTATATACAACTACTTTCGATTTCGACGTTGTCGTAACTTCAGAATTTTTACAAATTTTTACTTTTTTTATTTTCTGAATTGCGACCAAAATCGATTCGCATCGAAAAAATTGCAAAATTATTGATCGTTTAAAAGTTATAGTTGAATTGATATTTTGTATATTTTTGACTACATCAGCAATTTTTTCGATAACTTTTTAACAATTATCTTTTTTTTTGTTTTCTAACGGTGCCAATAATTCCAAAGTTATTTGCAATAAACCGCTCCGAGTACCGAGAAAATCACCCAAAACATTTGACAAAAATCGAAAAACTTCGCCATTGGCACTCTTGGTTCAAGAGACTTACAAAAATACAAAAACGATGTAAAAGAAATAAATTTTTAAAAAATGTTGTGTAAGTCTAATATTAGCGCCCCATAAGCGCCCCCCCATACACGAGCGGATTATTCGTCGGATCAAATCTGTACAGATCTTATCGGCAGATCTGATCCGTACGGACTCAATCTGTTGCGCTCCATACACGAGCGGATATCTTAACGGATTTGGCTCGCCACGTATCAGATCCGACGAATATTCCTCTCGTGTTTGGGGCCCTATTGAATTAAAACATTGAGACTGTCGGCGGCGTGGTGGTGTAGCGGCATAAGGTCCCGCTTTCCGCCAGGTAGCTCCGGGGTTCAAGTCAGCAATTTTTCACTAATTCAAACTTAAATACCAATTCAAATTACCAATAAAAGATGGCGAGCGCATAATAGCACGAACTTTAAAACATGTGCACATGTTCTAATAAGAATAATAAGAGAGAGAGAGACCGCATAAGAGCAAATAAGAACGCAGGGGTTAATAAGAAAGAGAAAGAGCATAAGAATAAATAAGAGAACAAAGCATCAGTAAGGGAAAGCGTATAAAAAAGCACTAAAAGCTTTTTTTCTATTTCGGGGTCACAATGGGCAACTGTTTTCAGTTAGACAAAATGCTCTTTGTGATATTGTTTTTAGAAACATTTTTTGCTACATTTTTACCATCACTGTGTGCATACTGTGAGATCAACGTATTCCAATGGAACTAACCCAAATTTCAAGCAATTTGAGTATCGTATACGCATATAGATAGTTTTACAACAATTAAGCCCATACTACATCGTTTTTTTAATGACGTTTAATTGAGTGCCCGAATTTTTTTAAATAGGTAAACCCCCCTAAACCCTATCTCTGGCTGCGCCACTGAACAGAACACCCGCTGCATTTGTTTGCAAACATCTAATTACACCCACATTGCACCCGGTGCATTGCCAATTTCTTTATGTTTAGAAAGAACTTAAAAGTGATGTCGGTTTGTTTGAAGTATAAAGAGATAATATGACATACCTACGTAAATAGTGTTACTCCGAAATCGTCACTAAAGTTACATAAAATCACCAGTAAAGAATCTAAAATCGGCACTAAAGTAGTTCATTATTGGTACTACAATTTTTTACTGCAATCAATAAACATTTCAATGAATTAAATTAGGTATCAATTGTCATATTACAATGAAATATAAATCAATGAAAAATAAGACTTTAGTGCCTTGACACAATAAATAACAATTATTTAAACTTGAAATTAGGTTTTAATAAAATCAGTCTTTAATCTTCATTACTTTTTCATGATTTTCAGTATCAGTCTTTAGAAGATTACATTACATTACATTCTACATGTAAAGTTAAGAATTGATGTTAGATTTCACAAAAAGTTGGCGCAAAATTTTATATCCGGTTGCAATAACACACCTGGGGTACTTACCCTAGTGGATGCTTATAATAAGTAACGTGTGTATTTGCCGTCCCATCTCTAGTTCTAATATTCGAATTAATGCATGCATAACATTTTGATCTGAATCTTCATATTCTGATAAATTATAAATGATTTGAAAAATTAGAACAAAATTGGTAAATGTAATCTGTCCATTTGAATCAAAAAAATCCCGCTCCCTGCATGTAGTGCCGCCTGGACAGAAGTAAATATCGCAAAAGAACTCGATTTGTTCCAAAGATTGATAATAAAAGGCTAATAATAGAAAACAGAAATATACTTTTTACTTTTATTTGATAATAATTATTGAATTAGAATATAACAAAAATATAAAAGAAATGTAAAGATAAAAAAATCATGACATACACTATTATCACACAAACGTTAAAAAATTGCAATGAATGATTTCAAAATTCACACTCTTGCTATACATATAAATAATAAAATAATGTCCTGATACAAGAAAGTCACATTTACAGCAATTATGTATAATACACCATTCACAGGTGTCCACTAAAGATAAATAGTTAATATTTTACCTAATGTTATTTCAATTTCCTAGGCCGACGTGTCCATTCGCTTATTTGATTTATTACTTTTTCTTATTTGCTTTCTCAGCTTTCCGTAGGAGCTTTTCTTTCTCTTTTCTATTTCGTTCCATCTGTTTACGTTCTTTCTCATTTTGTATTTTCAATTCCTTTATTTTCCGCTTCAAGTAACTTTTATCGTCACTTGCAATTCCGAGAATTTTGAAATCCGCCGATGTTAACAAGAGAAGAGCCTGGCCATTGACGTCCAATTCTACAAACTTCGGAATATGGTTTTCCATTCCAATTCCAAGCAGCCACTGGGAGACCTGGGAAACATTGTATTATGATTCACTAGAAGATGTTAACATCAATTACCTGGTCTTTGCTCCATTCCGAAATAGGAGTCGAATGCCAGTACTGCGAACCTCGCTTGTCGCTGCTTATACTACAGGACGATAGACTTAGATCCGTTGTTACCCACGACGCGTCGTGTTTTGAGGGTGATACGGACCCAGACGATAGACTCGATGGAGATGGAGGAGTAGGTAACATACTTCCTTGATGCTGCCACGGAGTACTACCTGGGGGTGATAATGTAACGGGAACAACTTTCTTTACTACAAATACAAAGCACTGAGTAAATTTTCAGAAAACAATTATTTAACCTACCTTTCGCATTGGCTTCGTTTACAGCTTGGCGAATTTCTTCAAGTAAATGTTGAGCGGCATTGTGTTTTGATTTTTCCGTCAATTCTTCACAGGAACTATTCAGAGTATCAGAGCTGAATCGCTTTTCCCTCTCTGACAAAACCTAAAAAATCATAGTTAATTAAAAACTAAACTATGTTTCAGATTATACTTTTTTTAATTGTTCAGCAAGTGACGGTGGGGGCCCCATGCCGATCCCCTTTTTTATAATCCCCGAATCTGGAGGGTTCGTATATTCCGAATGACTAGAATCTTTTTGAACTTTTGCATAAACTGGCGTGGGTTCCACCCTTTTATTGTATGAAGCGTAAACTGATTTTTGTACTTTATTATATTGAAAATCATGCTGTGTAGTTTCTGTGTTAGTTTGAACCTGGCACCTCGTATGTTGTGAATATGAAATATTTGAATTCAACGTTCTCCCACTGGAGCCGTTACAGCAATTGACTTCATCGCCCGAATTGTAACTATCATCTAACCCATAATCCGAACTGCTGCTATTACTGAGGGAACCTTTTTTAACACTAGGTAATTGTCGATTTGCCAGAGAACCTCTATTTGCCAATTCCGCTTTACTTTTATTAACGGAAATGTCCAGCAATTCGTGTTGAGGGACGACCCTGTCTAGTTCTTCCTTCAAAGGAACTTTTCTCTCAACTGTTGCAGTCTTATCATCGTCTGGACTATGATCGGAAATTTCAGTATCCGACAAATTTGTTTCTAGAGTATTAAATAAGGGTTTAGGAGGAACTCGCCTCGTCATTTGAGGCGTCAGTTGCTTTAAATTTAAATTATCGTTAGGGAGAACACAAGGCAAACCCGCTTTTTGTTGAGCTTCTAGTAAATCCTGTTCTAGGATTATTATACGATCCTTTAAATTTTTCACTAAAGCGTTGTATTCTGTATCCTTTTCTTGTAAAAGTTGTTGGTAGAAGTCTTCTCGATGAATCATATCTAATTCGCGGTGTTGAAATTCTCGAAGCAATTGTTTTGCTTTAGTATACTTCTTTTCCATCACTAGATATTGAGACTGAGACTGTTCCAACATATTTTGATATGTCTGTATCTCCTTTTTTGCTGTCACTAAAATTCGTTCAGTTTCCTTAAGCTTCTGATTTAATTGAGCCAATTTATCGGAATCGTCCGGTTTTATACCATTTTGTTCCATCAACTGGAACAGTAAATTAGAAAAAAGCTAATATTTAATACACGTAATAGAAAACATACTTCTTGAAGAAGCACTTTTAAAGAGTCAATGTCTGAGCTCTGTTCCACATCCATAGAATTTTCAGCGCTTACTAAAGGACTGTTTGGACCATCTGATACACTAGTATTTGCAGAACCTGAAAATTACACTCAAAACGTAGTAATTTTCTCCTTTGTAAAATATTAGAAATAAGTACAAATATTTACACACCTGTGAGGGGTACTGTGCTGGCGTCACTCTGCTGTTGCTCCATCTCCAAAGCCTTCTGCCTCCTCTCCTCCCTCTCCCTATCTGCTTGCAACGATTGTCGTATAAGTTGAGCCACTTCACTATTTTCAGGGTCCCGTTCGCGACCAATACTAAATTTGACAAGTCCAGAAGTGTTCCGGAGAACACTTGCAGCATATGCTTGAGTAACACCAACAAGACTTTTTCCATCAACTTCAATAATTTGGTCGTTAACTTTGATTCTTCCGTCTTTCGCCGCAGCTCCATTGGCTGTTATTGTTTTCACAAATATACCAAGTTTTTCTAAACCTGCATCCGCTCCAACTCCCATTCCGATAATACTGAGTCCAAGTCCTTCGGAACCTTTGATAAGTTCTACAGGAAATACATCCATCTTCTCCACCCGTTTTTCAAGTTCGTATTCTGCGGAAGCTGCCACGGGATCAACGTCTTCATTCCGTCTGTCATATTCTGTTACGCTGAAAGTGGAATAGACTTTCATGGGTTCGGTCGAAAATGCAACTTTGGTGGGTTTTGGTATGTGGGTGTAGCAAGTAGATTCATCGTCTTCCTCTTCCGATTCGGGGAGAAGGCCTGGAACTTCCATCCAAAAGTGACCATCTTCGTAGTAGTGCACACCGTTTTCCTCTCCCACGATAGGAACTGACTCAGTAGTAAATTCACTTTTTTCCCTATCTAATTTATCCTCTACTAAAAAACATTATAAAAGCCAGTGGTAAAAATTAAAAAACAAGTTTGGAAACCTTCTTTCGATTTTTTTCTAGGTTTTGGTGATTCAACTGATTCATTTGGTGGTGAGCTATCTATAAAAGCAAACGAATCAAGTTGAGACATATCATTATTCTCTTCTTCATCAATATCAGCCTTATCTTTATCTTCTAAATGAGCAAATGATTTTTCTGACACAGAAGTCATTTCTACACAATAGTTTTTAAATGTTGGTTCAGACGGCATGGTTGATGTCACCGGCTGTTCAGCAAACAGGGAAGTGTCTGTTGCCCAATCGTCGGTTAGTCGACTTTTAGAATTTAATAATCTTGTAACTTCTTGTGCCTCTTCGTCTGAGAGAAGATCATGTCTGCTTGGCACTAACCGTTTTTCCGATATTCTAAATCAAAAAAAAAGTATCAAATAAGTACAAAACTAATTACTTTAATTTATAATTATGTATGACTTACTTTGTGCTCAACAAATGTTCTTCTTCAGTTGGAGTCATCGAATCCGCTTCAATATCATCTATGGTAGCATATTCACTCTCATTTTCAAAATCTAAAGAAGAGCTTTCAGATCTAGTAACACCATCCCCTTGCAAACACTTCTGTTTAGACTGTTCATTATTTTTATCACATAACATATGAGTTTGTTTGTTGTTAGGGTGTTCTTGTGAACTAATTAAATACGAATCGCATTTAACTGTTGATTGCAAAACATCTGGTTTAGGTGGAATGCGACATTTTTCTTGTCTGCGATTTTTACACGGAACAGCATAAAGAGCCTCTTTTTCGGCGTCTGTTAATCTAGATTCTGGTTCCTTATCGGTGTTAGTTAATTTTATTTCTGATTTCATATCAGCTTCACTTTCATACAAAAACTTTGCTTTTGCTTTCAAATGTGAATCACTATCTTCAAAAGTTAGTGGTTCAGATTCTGCAAGTCGATTGGCATTATTTTCGGCAATTTTCGTAACATCTAAGCGATCTTCTATTAGGCAACAAGCGGAATCAGTAACATCTGAAACTGACAAAAATATTAAATCTTCAGAAAAAATTAAATGAATTGAAAAAACTACACTTGAATAACTTGTTAAGATTATTCCGTTTGTTTGACTTTTTTAATATCAATTTTTACTTACGAAAGGATTTCTCGTTTCCTTCATCTTCTTGCTTTTCAATTTCGGATTTCAACTTTCCAGGACTCGTAGGAGGACTTAGAGACGATAAGCTGCCAGACGTAACTGATAAACTTTCCCGACTAACGTCCTTATTATCAGTTAATTCAGAGGGAAGATAAAAGTGTTCTTCTGTTTGATCACAAATTTTCCGTTTCTTCGTTTCTTTATTATCTGTAGTGACGGAATGAGCGAATTCCCTGGGCGATACAGTTGGCACATCACCAGAAAATGTTTCTATTGGCCCACTATGAGGCTCCACTAATATCATACTATTCCTCTCTTTACGTTTATGAATATCTTTAGACGCTGTGACCCTTGTAGGACTTGTTGCAGGACTCGTTTCATTATTATTGTTACTACACATAGTCGGAATAACCGATGCTGGACGTTCTTTTCGAATGACGTCATTTCGTCGAAAATTTTCATTAGCTACTGACGACGAAGAGCCTGTAATTCGATTACTGAAAGATGCACTTCTGCTAGCTACCTTGTGCTCATGGGGTATATTTGAATCACCATTATTGACAGCTAGTTTTTCAGTTTTATTTGGATCACTGCTATAACGTGAAGTTCGTGATTTTGAAAAATGTGAAGTCCAATTTCGCTGCTTTTCAATCAATTCCTTATTGTTAAATTTTCGCTGAGGTTTTTCGGGTTTTTCTGGCTTCACTAATACTTTAGTTTGTTGATGTGCATTTGTTTTGATTACATTATTCTCAGAACTAGCCACAATATTGTTACTTTTTACCATTGGACATGCTTCGAGGACCCCCCTTTGGTTAGGAGATAAGGATCTAATACCGTGTTTGGCCGCATCAAAGTTATCTTCGTGAGATAAATTACTCCTGCTTTTAGAATCACAAATGTCGGAAGCACTTTTCGTACATTGGAGAGGTGCGAATTTATCGCGATTGTTCCGGTTCTCTTCACCTAGTTTCTCAAAAAGTGCTCGAGCACTGTTAAATCTCGTCACATGCGATTCTGTCCTTATAACATTTACCTCAGATATTTCTTCTACTAGTTCATTTGAGCATGACGTGATCTTTTTGGTTTTTATAGGTGCGATAATCTCTTCACTATGGGATGATTTTGCTTGAAATCTGTTGGCTATTTCTGAGACTTTGGAGCCGCCAAAACGAAGACCCCGTTTGTCGTCCATAACGGCGCCACGTAGCAGCTGAAAACATTTTTTATAGAATTTTTTTATATAGCACAAGTCTGTGGGTTCTATAAGTATAGGTTTTTTTGGAGGAAGTTTACTTGCTGATTAATCTTTTAACTAGAGTAAAGTTTATAGAAACACAATTGTTAGCCGTTCTCAAATACTTAGTTTATTAACAAGTAACGAACTTACACAAGTCATTCTACACTGATTTTAGCTAATGTGAAACTACTAGAACAATCGTAATTTCAACGTCAACGGGTGCGGTTTTTATTTTATTGACAAGCGACATTGTTATCTAGAAATACAGATGGTTAAAATGACTAATCTCAAGCAAAAATAAAAAAAAAATAGTTTCAAGGACGTACTTTATTGTCATTATAGATATTCCTTTTCTCAGTTAAGATAAAGCACACTAAGATCAAAACTGAAAACCTTATGCATGCATTTTGTATGACATAGTTTTCTGTTTTCTTGTGTCATTTATTTAAAGAGTACTCAAGATATTGATAAATTTGTTTTGTTACTCATGAAACTTCGTTTGTACAAATCGTAATGATTAACAAAAAATGTTTAACTTTTGATGTGTGCGATATGTTTTTATTACTTGGTTTCGGAGAGTGGTACCAACCGTAAATCAGAAAAAAAAACTGCACTGCATCATGTTAAGTGGAGAACGTTAAACTTTTACTGTAGCTATAGTGTACACCTCAAAACCAACATTACATTTTAGTGAATTAAAGAATTATGCTATTCTATTAAAATGATTTCTAGGATTTCTTCAAAAATGGTTTTACTTGAGACAATAGAATATAATGGAAGAATACTCGATTTTCATTGGAATTCAATAATTCAATAACGAAAGTGTCATCGGGTTGACTTTTTCATCTTTGAAAAACAACTAAGGACCGGTTTCGTTCTTATTTGGAACTCATCAGTGCAGCGTAGTCAAATGAATACCCCGGCTTCCCTAAACAAAAAAGATACGTCTTCATGCGTTTTATTTTATATACGTTTATATACAAAAACAGTTTTTCCTGCAGTATTTTGTTACATATTTAATTGTTACAACTACTTTGTTGTTACAGATTAATAAGTACACCAATAAAAATTGCAGGTGGAAGCCAAGGCTGTTCATAGACAGCTACAGACCGGTTATGTCTTTCTTTTCGTCTAAAACGTTCTAAAAATCTATGAAATGCTCAATTTTGGTCTCTCCATTACAATGTTCCAAATTACATTTTAAAAATCGAGTATGATTTCTATTTTATTCTTAAGCAGTAAGTACTATTGCCTAGATTTCAGAACATAGATGTGATCAAACCTGACAAGCGTAAAGCTCAAATTTATTATTATTATTATTTATTAAGTTACTATTACGCAGTAGTATTTTACAGGTTCCCGAAATTATTACAACAGAATTGGCAAACACCGAAATGTTACGGAAAAAAAATACATTTTATTTGATATTACTACACCGGGTGTTTAATAATATGGTATTCTAACAACTTTAAATTCCAGTACTTCGCCGTTTTAACGAAATCGGAAACCGCTCAGTGTAAAAGCACACTGCTCTCCACTATTGTTATTGCATTCAACATATACTTGAATCATGGCTGTTAACACATTACCATCCACAAACACACAAAAAGTATAAGAGCACTAAGAAAAAATATTAGTTATTTCTGTCTACAAAATTGAAGTTCATGTTTTAAAGTAAAGTTTTTTACTGTACGTCACTGACTCGGAATTATTTGAATGACATTTTAGAAACTTTAGTTTCAGGCCATTTTATAATGACAAAATTTTGTATTTTTCAAAATGTCTTAATTTTCAACGACCGCGACTGTACATTTTGAATCAGACCCTAACTGTGATTATAGTGATGCTAACTTTAACTGTTTGAAATTTGCGTTTAAAAAAAACAGCCTGTACAAGCTGTTTCAGATCTCGCGCCCCAGAGAAGAATGCAAAGTACGGTAAGATACCAGAAACATAGACAAAATATTTAAAAAATTCTATCTATAAAAATTTCGAAATTATGGGAGTTTAAATTTTACACTTCGACTTCATTTATTTTCGTTGGAGAAATAATTTTCAAAGTTTTTTTTGCTACAGACTATTAGAAGAGGAAACAAGGAAGCTGTATCTTAAATTGCAACTATATTCAAAGTTATTTGTGGCTTTTATTGGCAAAAATTTTGTACCTTTACTAAATGATTATGAAAAGACATAATTTACAAGATTATCAGTAACATTAAATATATATAAAAAAAATGTCAAATGTCAAAAAATAAATGTTAAAATTTTTTGACAGAATTTTTTAAACATTTTTATTCACAATCACTAATGTAATATGCATATTACAAACCTTCTAAAGGTTGGATAACACATCATTAAATCCCAAGACAAGTAGTATCATTTTTTTCTCCCTAGGGCGGTAATATGCAGGATTGACAAAGTTAAGATTACAAAAATACCGCGAATTTTTCTTTCAAATTGTCAATTTACGCATAATATTTCAATTAGTATTCAATTGCTTCTGTAGCAGTTTTTCTTACTTCTGGGGGAGTACATTGCTCCATTTCAACAATTTTAATATTAAATAGCATACAAAACTCGGTGGTAATGGCATTGCCCCTTGTGCTTTATCCGAGTTCATGAGCACTCGGGGTAATGCCATATTTACCACCTCACAAGTAATATATTATTTCTATGTTCTTAGTATCTTATCTTACTTAGAATTTTTCTCTGGAGTGCAAATTCTGAAACAACTTAATATACTTAGAATACTTAAAACATCGCAGATTTTTAGTAAAGCCCAAACTGGTTCATAAACAGTTGTGTATGATTTTAACTTTGTGTATGCATCAACAGGATGGATAAAAAAATGAAACATCAAATTTTTGGGTTTCTGTAAAGCAGGCTTTAGCGTCAAATTTCACTTTTCAAAACCTCCAAAACGTTAAAATGACATCACTGACAATCAATGACAAGTTCAAAATAAAGTTGGTTTCTGAGGGCCGTTTTACATTTCATTACGTTGCTGCCACCTTTTTGGTCTGTAATATTACTAAAAAAGTTCTAAAAACATTAAATAAGCGAGTTCCGAAAATCTACAAATTGAACCTACAGGTAGGTTAATTGAAACTACATGTAGGTTTGGATTACCATAAATGGTAATCCAAATTTTCGCCCCCGTTCCACTTCGTGGTAATTATCAAAATTCACAACAAAAGTTTCACCAGCGTCTCAGCTCTTCAACAACCTCCAAGTAAACCGGAATTATAAAGGGATGAAAACTATAAAAAAGAAAAGACTCACCCGTGTTTTAATTACGAGGAAATATTTTAATCCATTAGAAAAGATGATTATTAATCCATCACTGTATTTGTTTTTTTACAACGACGCCCAAATGTCACTATTATACATGCCATGTTTTCATAAATACTTTTATTTATAACGTAAGAATATGCACAGGTAACCGCAGAAAATGAACTACGACGCACGCTTTTTACATGTTTTTATTTACGATAGGCTAATGTTTATTCACTACTGTCAAAATAAGCTATAATCCATTACTTTGTGTCAGTCAAAATTCACCACCCTTCACAAAACACAATTCGATGAAATCGGTCAAACTGCGCATGTTCACGCAATTCACGCCCGACGACCTGGCCAAATATTCATCGCCGCCGATTGTTGGAAACGTCAACTGTTGACAATGACAATTGTAATTTTAACATAGTAAATGACTTGTAATCTTGTAAAAATGTAGCCATAAAACAACACATTCAGAAATAGTTTTTGTTTTATCTGACTTGGCCTCTAAATAGTCTAAATATCTATTTTGCGGAGTATTTTTGGTGTTTTCCTAACAATCATCTCTGCTTGTGACGTTACAAATGTCATGATGCACATGTAAATGTCATATTTAAACAATTTTTTATCAATTTGGTGATTTAGAAAACTCATGCAAAAAATCTTGTATGAACCACGCATGCAAACAGATTTAGGTGACTTCTCTGATTAAGGACGCCTTGTTTGTTGCTTAACTGAAGTGGTCATTTCATGCATTTGGTCATAGAAGAGCCCTGTTTTTTTTGCAGGTGCTTAGAAGTAGTTTCGGGCGGCTTAAAATTATTAAAAATGGTAGAAAAGTGGAAAGTGAGTACTTATATTGTCTACTACGTCTACGACTCGTTTTTTAATCACGTGAGTGAATAATAGCTATTATACAGGGTGTTCGGTCCAAGCCGCCCCGGTCGATAACACCTAAACTTACTTTTTTTTTTCAAAAACTGAATTTTTAAATAATACTATTCATTCCTCGCTTTCTTAGTAAATGCATCAAATTTTTTTGGCACATCCAGTGTAGCCGGAAATGCTACCAAATTTAGTTTTTCAAATGGAAGACCTATGTTTTTTTGCTCAAAACAATAATAATTGATATGAAAAATACGGTAAACCACTATTTATTACATTTTACTTTACATAATGCACTTAGAAAACAATTTAAAATTTTGAATTCTTTTGGAAATTTTGCAACGTAGGCGGATTTTACTTCTCAAGGTATTCATGCAAAAAGCAATATGCTTGGATACCGTTTAATTGTTATTTTGACAAAGCCTAATTTGTCAATAAATCTTATTGAGATCTTTAATAATGGATGATATTAATTACGACGAATTGGTAGATCAGCTTGAAGTGTTTTTTAAGTGCAATAAAAATAGAGCGGAAGCTGAAAAACAGAATAAAGAGAAAGAAACTCAAATAGAGTTTACCCAAATCGTTGAAAATTTAGTCGAATTGAAAAACAACTGAGACGAATAGGTTCTCTTCTTAAAACTAAAAAACATGTGGTTCTTTGTGAAGAACAAGAAAATAGAAATTTGAATGTTATGTTATCAGTCGAAGAACATCCAAGAGTTTCCATAAGAGAACTTGCTCATCAACTGACAAATTAGATTTGTCAAACCAACAATTAAACTGTAGCCAAGCATTTTTTTATTCACACTTTTCCTTTAAAATTAAAAATCGGGCTACGTGACCAATTTCCTTATAAAATTCTAAGATTTAAGATGTTTTTTAATTGCATTGTGTTACGCAAAATGTAATAAATAGTGGTTTACAGTATTTTTCATGTCAATTATTATTGTTTGGAGGAAAAAAAACATAGGTGTTCCATTTGAAAAACTAAATTTGGTAGCATTTCCGGCAACACCGGATGTGCTAAAAAAATTTGATACAATTATTAAGAAAACCAAGAATGAATATTATTACATAAATATTTACTTTTTGAAAAAAAGAAGTAAGTTTAGGTGTTATCAGCCGGGGCGACTTGGACCGAACATCCTGTATGCGATAGGATACTATGATGTTTTATCTACAGTTGGAGACAAAATACTTTGTTCGTCAATGTCACTTGAGGGACATTAAATTGTAAAGCATGCTTTAGGACTGTTAACCTTATTTTTAGCTACTGTCAATCATATAGTTGACAAGTTGTATGTACATATTTTTGATAGGAAAATATAATAGTTGTCATTAATTTGAAATTGTCATTCATTTTAACGTTAAAGCTTGAATTACATTAAAGTGTCCGAAAAGTGACGACCAAAGTATTTTGTCTCCAACTGTACGACTATAAAATATTTTCGATTTTTGGTACTGACAAAGTTGACGTTTAGAAGTTGATATTTTAATTTAATTAATAAAAATCTCAAATTACATAAGATAAGTTGGAACAAATTGCTTTATTTTGACCTGGGGAATCTCAAGTTAGTCTTTGTCTCAATCTTTTCGTTACATCCTGTAGGTATATTATCAACACCTTATACCGTGCGATCAAAAAAAATTTTTATACACGGTATTTCACGAGTGATAATGAGCCTGACCAAATTTGAACTGCAGCCAGTAATACATTTGCATAGACTTCATGGATTTTGATTATGAATTTTAAAATTAATAAAACATAGTTATCGCATGACTGACACAAAAAAATTGACAAGACAGGAAACACAATTTTTAAGGTTATTTGTCTATCTATCATTGGAAAACAGTTTAGTGATTCAAACCTTTTTGGAGCTTGCCTATTCAGAATAAAACATTGTTTTTACAAAGGCTCAACGGCAAAAGCATTTTTCCCAAATTCGCCATAAATGAGAATCAGATCTGTTTTCTCATCGTTCGAATGCATTTTGACTTTTTGCTAAATTTAATGTCAGTTGTAGCAAATAAAATTATTGGAAGCAAAGCTATCGTGGATTCATAATCGAATTTTCAAACAATGTGATATCTAAAATATCCACGTTAACTTTGCAAATGTATTGTGGGTTGTATTTTCAATTCTGTCAGGCTCATTATCACTCGTGAAATACCCTGTATTTATTTAGTAAAGGTACAAAAATTTTGCCAATAAAAGTCACAAATAACTTTAAACAGAGTTACAATTTAGGATACAGCTTCCTTCTTTCCTTTTCTAGTAGCCTGTAGAAAACTTAGAACTTAGAAAATTATTTTTCCAACAGAAATAAATATAGTCAAAGTGCAAAATTTAAACTATCATAACTTCGAAATTTTTATAGATAGATTTTTTTTAACATTTTTTCCATGTTGCTGGCATCTTACCTTACTGTTTCTCTAGGGCGCGAGTTCTGGCGCGACTCAGCCTAAATTTGAAAGCGGCATTTTTTATTTTATGGAAATTTCATAGGCGATTAGATGAAAATCATTTTGAAACATGTAGAGTCTGTCGAAAGATATACCGTGTTTACAATTTAATCCGCTATTTAACTTCCACCAATTTTTATGAAGGTTTAACCGCAAACCCTTATTTCTAGACACCAATGAAGTAAGGTACATATATATACATAAACATATGTACATACATAAACGTATTTCCTCAATGCTGGGCCAGGCTAGTATTCATACTTTTGTGTTCTTGCATTTACACTTCCGCTTCTTAACATTTTCAAGTAATGTTAATAATTTTTTAAAGGTAAAATAAATTTAAACGGTTCAGTTATGGAAGAAACCAGTCGGGAGACTTTATAATCATCACTTCATCAACCATTTTTAAGAGAATATATTAATTAAATAGAATTTTCTTTTCTTTCTTGATCGGAAATTTTGAATGACTGATGACTTTGCTAGTTAAGTGATAATAAATCAATGGTACAAGTGCAACGAGACCCTGTAAACCAAAACCGGCTCTCGACTTGTTCATCCACAAAGAAAATTTACCTCGCAAGGTTACCACTATACGAATAACATCTGGTTTTCTAGGAGGACGCTGTTTTAGAAAATATTGCTGTTACAATTAAATTATTCTTTTTTTATAAATCATACAATAATTTAGCACTTAAGTGCTATAATTATAATTATAACTTATAAAATAATAATGCATTAAAATGAACTACAGAATTAGTACAGATTGTATGTACTTGGAGATAAATTAAAATTTAAGCTTTTTGTTATAGTGATATTTACAGATTAATTTTGAAACTTGTAATAGGTAAACAAACTTAACTCGCTGTTACAAAGTTTCTGATTGGAATTTGTATATTTCAAGTAACTTTTTTCAATATAATTTTTTTTCAAAATACGTTAATAGTTATTTTTGTTACGAGTACCAAGTAGGTACCTAAAATACAGTTTTTGCGGACGAATCGTTCCTGATGAATCCGCAAACACGTTTTAAGTACGTTACAAACATTTTTTGTTAAAGCTCCCAAAAAACGAATTCATACCTGTTATTAATTAAAAAAAGATTCCACGATAGACCCATCAAATTGATTTTTTCGTCCGGAAAAACTGTTTTTGGGGACTGACTATTTACCTAAAATAGCTATCTATGTATCAAGTACGGAAAATAGGCTTTTAGGGGACGAATCGTAATTAATGATGAGGCGACGTAGGAGCCGAGTTTTTAATGAGAGGAATCACTTAAAACCTTTTGCTTACGTGGTACCTACAAGATTTTTTTGTTAAAGCTCCCAAAACACAAATTCACACCTCTTACTAATTAAAAAAATTTCGTTACCATAGTAACCAATTTTATTTTTTAGTCCGCAAAAACTGTTTTTGGGAACTGAGTACCTAAAATAACCGTTTTGCGTACTATTTTATTGAGTCCGGAAAAGACTCATTTTAGGGACTCAAATGAGTTCCTAAAACAGCTGTTTTCGGGAGCGTATACAAAAAAATAGTTTTTTTTATTCGTATGCAACGTAAAAATTAAACCCAAAAGCACAATAGTTACGGAAATGTTAGTGTTAGAATAGGTCTATTCCAGCACCCAATTGACGTCATTTGCGTGCTGGAATAAGTCGTTCGCGGTAATTTAATTTTAGTGACGGACTTTCTTCACAATTCATCTTCAAATGTGAAAATAAGAATAATTTTTATTTTTTACAGCCGCCTAAAATTATTCCACACATAAATGTCGCCAACCATCGCAAAATTTTCTAGAAAAAAAAATCGTTTTTTAAATTATAAAATGATAAAAAGCGGCGAAATAGAAAAAATAGTATAAAGCACTTGTTGCAAAAGGTTCTTCAAGCACTCATTTGTTCCTCAACTCGCTGCTTCGCGGCTCGTTTCGGAATTGCAAATTTGTGCTTGAATACCTTCTGCAACTTGTACTTTAATATACTATTCTGAAGCAGCGAAAACTATTCTCAACCATCAGAAATGCTACACGTTACACGATGTGCATAGCGATTTTTGTCCCAGTTACGGTGCGAGTTGAGAGAAAAGTTGTTTTTTTTTTGTTCTTATGTCATGAATGATGATCTAACACCCTACACAAATTTTGCCTACTATTTCAAAAGCAGCTTGTATTATTTTATGTATTTTTCGATGGAACTTTCTCAGTTTGCTTTTGTTTTGTTCTCACATAATTGTGCTTTATAATAAATTTATTAGCCTTGTTAAACTGCATTATTGTGTTGAACAAAAATAGCATCAATGACATTCCGTTTCTGTGATTATCTTGAAGATACTTTTCAATGAACTTGGTGCACCATTAATTAAACACTTGATAACTCGGTGTAAAAATAATAGTATGTTTCAAAACAATGATAACTGACCCGTTTTTTCCTGAAATATCACCTTTATATTTCTTTAATTTGCTAGATTTTTGGGACGATGCGACGCCAGTGACCGGCGACGTTCTGCGTCGCATCATAACCTTGTTGGATGCCGGGTGCAAGATAATGCCACATTGCCTACTCGCGATCTATTTGTTCCTTCGATCACTTTAATCAACAAACGGCTCATGTGCTATTTAAAAATAGGTAACGTTGAAAATGCGTGGGGATGATATAAAAGTAGTGGGGTTTGGGCCGGAGACAGCTGAGACCGGCGCCTCTGACGTTTCTACGACCTTGTTTCGTCCTTCCCATTTGAGTGTTGTGGTAGTGATAGTGCCCGATGGCCCATTCATTCACGAAACACTTGATTTGGGACTAGGCAAATATATGTCAACTTGGGCAAAGACTACCTACACAGGTTCGTTAATCTTCCTCAATTTTTAGCACCAAATTTTAAATACCGCATGACCTCTAACTTATTTATTTCTTTGTCGTATTGTCCTAGGTCAATTTTCTTATATTATTATATTTTAATTACGCAAAAGAGAGCAAAGGAATGAGAAAGTAAATAATAATAATAATAATTAATTAATCATTATATCGTAACTATCGGGTAAATAATTCAGCAACTTTTGCGCTCCACCAATAACTCGGAGCTTTAAACCTGCAGTTAGGCAAGAATAATTATTTCCGATATTGTTATCACTTAACAGAAATTGTATACGAAAATCCAAGTTTTTTTTTCTCCTAACATTTAAAATTTAACTAAAAAATTAAAGACCATTGACGGATTTTTGATGGACGAAGTCTAAATTTAAATGATTAAAGAAGTGTTGCTTAATTTAAAATAATAGTAAAAGGAATTAGATTAGATTAATTAAAAATTTGAATCTATTTTATTCAAGAACTATACGTTTTAGAGAGGATTTGTACCATTTTTTTAAATTTATTACAACGCTACCAAGTTATTAAATATAAAGAAAAATAATTTTTATACTTGTAGAATTTGAAATTATTCTATGTCCCTATCATTTCGCGTCAGGATGTAAGATGTACGAGTAGATTTGAAAAATATTTTTTCTAAAAATATAATTTTTGTGATGAAAATTCCCAAGAACGAAGCAAATTAAATCTATTGGTATGGTTGGAAGAGAATAAACAAAATTGTGGAATTTAAATTTTGATAAAAGCTAAAGCAAAACCAAATCAAATAAAATTACAGTGTGAAAACTTTGAAGTGACCTTTTTTCCTTCATTTCTGTAGATACGATTTTCTCATTTATTAAAACCATGGCTGTCTCGATAGAAATAATCCTTTTCTTGCTTAAACATTTTTTTGGCGCTTTAATCTGTGGAAATTTTTTGACACTTCTATTTTTTTGGGTTAAAGGGTTCAATGTCATAATATCAATTCTCCCTGGCGTATCTTGTTTTGTTGTATCCTTCCTTCCCAGCTTTTATTAATTGCGTTATTTTTCGTTAATAATTAAAAATCATTAAGTTTTTCTTAATAAGCTCCATAACTAAGAAAAAACTCGAAATCACTGCTCTTGTGCATTTTTTACAAAATGCTCAGGCGGGATATTGATACATTTCATTAAGGACGCGGTGGTTAAAACAATGCAATATCCTGAATCCCAAAAAATTAACATTTTGGTTTATTATTCATTCATTGGCTAACAGAATAAAATATTAAAAAAAAATTGAGTTCTATAATATTCCATACAAGTTTTTGGCCCATGCAGGCTGGATAAAAAACCGTTCTAAGTTCACAGTTTATTGTGAGCAATTTTTTGGAATAGACGCTCTATCAATAAAGAAGTATTGTCACATTTTTAAAACTAATGGAGTTGTGCCTTTGGGCGTTTTTTATAAACTAGTCTGTGTATGTTCACAATTTTTCAAAATATTTTTTTATTATTAAAGTGGTATCTTTATATTTAATACCTATTGTTTGTTGCACATAACTTTGTTATTTTTAATTTTACTGTGGCTTTGTTTTTAAACAAAGTTATCTACAGACTTATCAAATACTTTCAGATAAAAAAATTAAAACAAAATGAAAGTTTATGAAATAACGTGTTTGTGCGTATTGGAGTGATAATTATTTATTGGATTTATGTCAAATTGTTTATATTAGAGCCCTTGTGTTATAGATCTTTTTCAACACCTAGATAAACCATTTTTACCAGAAGTTTCTATAGCTGTCTGCGACAAAGAGCGTTTCAATTTCAAGAGTGGCAACTTCCGTTGTCATCTCAAGTTTACAATTAAGTGAGAAACACATGTAATAAAACCCGTAAATATAAGTATAAAAAAATGTGGAAGTGACTTTGTTACCTTCAACCCTTTCAAATGAAAAATGGATCAAATTCATCGTTTGAATTAAGTATCTACTTGAGTTATAGAAAAGTAAAATCGATAATTCTTTAATTAGATCTTTTATCCGCAAACGTCAGAAAAACGATGTTTTTATGACTAAATGACATAAGGAAAAGTTTTACTTTTCATACTTAGGGTAAAAACACTATTTTTTCGCCTAAGCGTTTTTTACTTTTACCTGACATTTACCAATGTTGTCTCTTTCTTGTCTCTTTTGTTGCTTCAGCATTTTCTGGAGAGGTACAGTGCGGATTATCAGCATTCGACATTTTGCACCATAACTACACTATGGCTACATTACAAAAAAAAAAAACGGGAAATTTTTCCAAATGTAATTTCGGTTCTGGTTGTCAATTGTCAACTTGACAATACCTATCAATAATATTCCTATCAATGCCGTTAAATTTATATCAACTTGTGTAATGCCGAATTTCAATGAAATAGAGAAAGCCAGAATCCTCCTCATCTGGAAAATGGTAGGAAAATTATGAATTTAGCGACAGAATTTAGAGTGTTTTCAAAATATTTTAACCTATTTTAATAAAACACGTTCGCACCATGGAAAAATTGAAAAAACCTCTAATTTTTTTTTGACATTTCTCGCTTTTTTTGAATGTAGGTGTAGTTATTCACTAGTTAAATTAGTCAACACTTTAGAAAATTTCAACACAAATTCCGAAACTGACACGAGACGTTTATTATGATTTCATTGCAAAGTGTCCTGATTAATTTGATCATTTACTTTGTTGCTCTTTTCTTCCCATCTGAATCGTTTGCGGATAAAATAGTATATGTTATTTTACGTAAGTGACTTAATATGACTCAGCTGAATCATTCGTCTCACTCCGTTCGCCAAAATAAACGTTCAGCTTGGCAACATAAACTATCACTTTTACTTCTAATAACATAATATACTATTTACTTATCATTTGAGTAATTTTTTTCACAAAAACGATTTGTCTCAATTTGAGTTTTTTACAAACACAATAACGAAACACTACCTACGCTTTTAGATGCTTTTATGTATTTTTAATAGGTGTTATCTAATGCCTAGCTATATTCTATATTCGAATTTTCATCAGAAAATTTTTCTGGCGAATTTAGTAGTAGATGAAATTTAGATCAGCTTCTGCACACGTATGTACGTAACAGATTCAGCCATTTACCGTTTTCTCAGATTTTTGTTATAGATAAATATACGGTGTTTTATATAATTTTACGAGTTCTGTGCCTGTAAGGTGCTGTTATAATTTTTTAAAAATTGGATAATCTTTTCTAGTTTGTTTACCCTTTCAAAAATTACAACTTTATTAGTTTGTTAGTGATTAAAATAGATAAACTAGAATCATATTCATGTTGTCTCTGGATAGAACAAATGATAATTGTCTCGGAAAAACAGCAGTTTATGACTATTCCTGTAACAGTGACTATTAATGAAACAGTGATTAGTTTGACAATTACTGTCATAAGTTTCTAAAAATTAAATAATTAAATGTGTATCTAGTATTTTGTGACTTTTGTATATTTGGGTGCGTACATTAGGCGCAAGCTTAGTAAAGTTGTGTGAAACACCTTATATATGAAAATAAAATAAAAATCAAAGAGGAAATATAAATTTTTGGCACCCATTTCTTTTGCTCTATAGTGTGCTCTGCATTCTGTTAGAACAACCCATGTTCAAGTTAACAATAACTTATAGATTTTTGTCTTATTTTTTTGTATGTTAATTTTTATTTTAGTTTGTATAAACATTGTCTAATTTTTGTCACATTTTTGTTTCAGAAGAAAAACTTATTAAATGAACACTGGTCCAGAAAAGTGTGGCTTGAGTTCGTTGCTACCAATGTCCTGTCGTGAACGCGCTGAGGCTTTTGCACGTCATTTACATTCTCGTTTAACGTCTCTGGAATCTGAAGATGGACACGACAAAAGCGAAAACAGTTGGTTAACAGCTCGCGAAAATTCCCTCACTGTTTCTCAACCTAAACACGAATTTAATTCCGAAAATAATTTATATTTGGAAATTGAGTCTCCACAAAGCCCCAACGAAGAATTAGATAGAACAGAAATTGAAAAAATTATTAACAAGGAGAATCTGTACTACAACTCAAATTGGCAATGTTCCACTTTTAAAGAAAATAGTCTGGTAGACAATACACAAACTGATAACGATAGTGATGGATCTTTTTATGACAGTGTAACTGATCTAAATCCACCAAACGAATACGACCCAACTAGTTTGCCACTAAATGGTAAAAAAAATGAGTTTGTTAACGGTAGGGAAAGTTGTTCGGCTGTACTCCAGGAGGAAAATATAGACTGTCAAGCACTTGATAACACTGAATTAGATAAAGTAGTTGATATTAATTGGAATCCGTCGTCAAAATTATGTGAGACTGAATCTCTAGCTAATAAAAATGTTTCGTTTAAAGAAAATTCTTCTAAGATACCATTACTAGTAACGCCAAGTGAATCAATTCAATCTGTATTAAATGACCAAAAGGACGATGACATCGAAACAGAAGAGGAAACTCCACGTGTAAGGAGATGTTCCTCTTTAAAAACAGGAAAAACCCCACCTGGTACTCCTTACCGAAAAAAAATTGTACGTTTCGCGGACGTCTTAGGACTCGATTTGGCTGATATTCGAACTTTTCTTGATGAAATCCCAAAAATCCCAAATTCTGCTTACAATGATTTACAAGATGTGGATATCAAATTGGCTCCTTTACCTTCCCCACTTAGTCTTTCTCCTAATATTGTAGAAAAAATACTGATTCCGTTGTTCCAACAACCCGGGATATTGCCTGATTTTGTAGACCGTCTTAGAGAAAATCAAGTCTGTTTAGATAGTGCTGTCGTCCAAGACCCTATAGCTCTCTCCATCACTGGAATAGTTAGAGTAAAAAATTTAGATTTTCACAAATCGGTACATATCAGATATACTTTAGATTCCTGGCAGAGTTTTGCGGATGTTCCGGCAGTATATGTGGAAAATTCGTGTGATGGGTTTTCAGATAAATTTTCATTTCTTTTTTACGCACATAATTTGTCTGTGGGAAAAACTTTAGAATTTGCAGTTCGATTTCAGTGCAAGGGGTGCCAATATTGGGACAACAATTATGGAAAAAATTATTGCTTTCAGTGTTTGCAAGCTACAAATTGTGCCTCTAATGCACCGATTACAACATGTACGGACGAGTGGTCCACTGATTTTTATTAGTAAGTGTTTAATTTTTTTTTGTAACTATCGAAGCAATAATTAAGTGTCATAGTTACAAGTATTTTCGTGAATTTTTGTAATAACAAATAAGTATTGATAAGTATTGATTACTGCATTAGAGGCATACAACACATAATTATTGTCATTAATGGTTATTTAGCAAATAGTGCACAGTATTTACAAATAAAAAAGGTACTAAAGCATATTATAAAATGTGAAATAGTTCTAAATGATGCGGACGTTAGTGTACCTCGAATTTGGTGAAGCATCGCAGTAAAAAAATTGGAATTTTCTTATGTGTAAATTGAGCAGAAAGCAGAATTTCCGGAGATTTTTTGCAATTTAATCAAATAACTTTGAAAAAAATGCTAAGTGACTTTTGTGGCTCATTTGACTCTAACCGTCCACATCATTTTAAAATCAACATTGATGGGGTTTTTATATTAAGATTTAAATTTACATGATAGCCCTCTCAGATATATACAAATTTTTATTTTTTTACACATGTATGGGCCTTATGTTGGTAATTTTTTTTGTAAAACTGTTTGATGTATGTACAAGTTATGTTTGTGAATATTTTAATAAATATACCTATCGTAGTTTTATTATCATGTAAATATCAGAATGTGAAATAAAAGATTTTAATTCTTTAATAATTGTACTTCATTTAAAATTTACATTCAACAAATTGTAGCAATAAAGAAATTGCAGCTGAACTTTTATTATTCACTTTTATCATTATCAATTTAGATTTCAGTTTCTCTGTTAAAATTTTGTGTTGTAAACATTTCAATGTAATTTAAAAACTAGCTATTATAAAAAGTGAAGATAGTTGTTTTATTAACCATTGCCTTTAAGTATGTTTATTTAAAAGCGATTTTAGAAATTGATTGATAGAAATGGGGCTTTCTTTAAAAAAAAACATTTATTAACAGCAAGAAATAAAAGCTACAAGTTTTGACGAACTTTAGTTTATACTAAAGTCTTGAAAAAGTTCATTAGTGATCTTTAAATGGTGAAATTAAAAAAAAATTATATAGGGCATTGATAAATACTAATCTAGTCCATCGCCTAAAATTATTTTATTTAACTATACAGCGTGTCTCAAAAATAAATTACAATACAAACTTGTGTTTTTTTAAATGGAACACCGTGTTTCTTAGCGTTTTTTGATGTAGATTTTTATGACAATGTTTTTAAGCTAAACTTTCATTGGTCGATTTTGCTTTGTTTTAAAAATATGACGTTTTTTTTTGACCAAAACATGCGCTTTTTAAAAATTTATTACACAAAAACTAAGACACCTAGAAATATTTTTTTTTACTATGGCAAAGAAGAAGGTCCAAGCTATAAGGTTGTAACATTTTTTTTATGTTGCATTTGCAATGATAAAAAAATGAAGGAGTTTGTTAAAAGTTCAATAACTTAAAAAAGTTAAATAAAACACCCTATTTATTGTTTTTGCATTTAAAAGATTATTAAATTGTCTTTCTAAAATTATTTACTTTTAGATGTTTATAATTAATAACTAAAAAGATATTTAACGTTAAACATTAAAAAAAAATACTATTGTTTCAGTAGCCAAAAAGTGCAAATTGCACAAGAGATAGAATAAATATCACTTAATCACATTTGTGTTAAACTGAATCCATTATTCTTTATTTTTACAATAAAATAATTCGAACTTCAGTATTTATAACGACTTTTACAATCTCTGGATAAGTCAACGGATAAGTGATCCGTGGTGGAATACTGTGGTTGCCATAGTATCAACAATGCTCAGATATTGGTAGGCATTATTGCTACAATTAATATTGAATGTTAAATATCTTTTCATTTATCAATTCTAGACATTAAAAGTTTACTTATTTAGATAGACAATTTATCAATCTATTAGACGCAAAAATAAAAAATAGGGTGTCTCATTGAATTTTTTTAAGTTATTTAACTTTTAACAAACTTCTTAATTTATTAATCTCTTAAAATGCAAAACACTAAAAAATTGCTACAGTTTTAAATTCTATACTTTCTTCTTTGCAGAAATAAGAAAAAATTTGTTCTAGCTGTCTCAGTTTTTGTGTAATGATTTTTTAAAAAGTGAGTGTTTTCGTCAAAAAGATGGTCTTATTTCTAAAACTAAGCGAAATCGACAAATAAAAGTTTAGCGTGAAAACATTGTTTTAAAAGGCTACATCTAAAAATGCCAAGAAACATACGGTGTTTCATTAAAAAAAAAAACACAAGTTTGTCTCGTAACTTATTTTTGGGACATGCTGTATGGTTGAAAATAATTTTAGGTTACGCACTAGATTAGTATCTATCAATGTCCTATACAATATTTTTTTAAATTTTACCATTTAATGGTCATTGATGAACTTTTTCAAATCGCTGGGACAGCCTGTATATTGGACATCAAAATTTAAAAAAAATTAATGTGACAGAATTTTTTTAATCACGTTTTTTTTAATGTGAGATGTGATAAAATTCGTTGTTGGAAAGGTAGACAACCATTTTTATTGGTTATTGTTTTAGAAAATGTAAATAATTGCTCGACAATTTAATTTTCTTTCAAAATTGAGAAAAAAATGTAAGATTTTATTTTTGAAGTCCTAGAAATAATTATTCAATGGTGTAGTTTAAATTAATTAATAAACTCGAATTATCATTTTTAATATTTAATATATTGCATATAATCTCAAAAAAGCTTCAATGTATACTGACATTTACATATTTTGAAAGCAAAAAAAATTGAAATTTGTGTGATACAAATTATTTTACATATACAGATAATGCGTGGTTATTAGTGTTTTGTTTATTTATTTAACCCAGTGCAAATTATTTACAACATAGTAGCAAAACGTAAAGAAAATCCATAATTTTCTAGAAAACTGCTCTTCGCGAATGTTCGGTAACAACCAAAAACGCCGCATCTTTCTCGAATTTCTGGAGTGCGCACTGCCATCTAGAACATTCCACGCAACTATCTATATAAGCGCGCGAGCGCTCACACCATTCAGATTGAATTCGAAGTGCGATACAGCGAAGTGAACGAAGAGTTCCCAAGTGATTCAAAGCGATTTTCTCATTCCAGTGTTCATAACCAGTAAAAATGGCTTTGTTGTCATTTATCAGAGACCCTCTGGACTGCTTCCGTCCATCTCTTCTCCTGGATCAACACTTCGGGATGGGCCTCGACGATGAAGACTTCCTTCAGCCGTGCATTCCTCGCAAGGTTCGGCGAATGATGCTCACTTCTCCCTATGCTCGTCCCTGGCGCTCGCAAGCATCCAAGAGGGATAAAGGATCTACGTTGTCGGTAGATAAGGACAAATTCCAGGTCAGTCTCGACGTGCAACAGTTCACCCCGGAAGAAATCACAGTGAAGGCATCCGAGAATACCATTACCATCGAAGGGAAACATGAAGAAAAGGAAGATGAGCATGGATTCATTTCAAGGCATTTTGTTCGAAAATATAAATTGCCAGAAGGGCACGATATTAGTCAAGTGAAGTCGAAATTGTCAACGGATGGGGTGCTGACTATCACCGCACCCAAGAGTCAAGAAAAAGTCAAAGAACGAGAAATTCCTATCTCTTTCACGGGTCAGCCGTCGCAGATTGAAGCCACTCCGACGATTGAAGTTGGGGCCGATGATAAGAAACCGGAGGAAAAAAAGGAAACAAGAAAGAGGAAATAAATTATTAACTTGAATTTATTTAATTCACCTAGTTGTAGTAGTACAAAGTCAGTATTAATGTAATGAGTTTTGTTTGAATAAGTAAAATGTAATATTATTTTGTATGCTCCTATTTTCTTAATAAAACGTTTTTAGCGAAATTATAGTTTTTTCTATTGACTTCAATTTAAGTGGAAGTTATACAATTGCGGTAACGGACTTTTGGACATAAAAAAATGTTAATGTAACTCACGCTTTTTTGTATCATCACTATAAATTGACTTTTGAAACAAAAATGAAAGTTTCATTATTTTTGGCGTGGATTTTTATCGAAACAATAATGTGTTTTTATATAAGTTCAATAAATTGTTTAGGTTTGTTGCTGTTTTTCCTCTAGCTGTTGGGATGAAAATTACAAACACCGAAAGTGAGGTTAGTTGCATAGGCTTAAGGCCCCGTTTTACATTTTATGTCAGTCGAATGACAAATTGTCCAAAATTCCGTGTCCGCAATTGTAAATTTTGCTAAAAAAAAACTCTCAGTCAGTCAATTGCCAAAATTGTCAATTTAAAAAAAAATTAGGTCATGCACTGTAGCATAATTAGCACCAGCAGCGAAACCCCCCATTTCTAATTTCACGATTCTGGGGGCCGAAACCACGGCCAAGAGACCGAAAACCGCACGTGTTCTCCCCCAATGGCTCACCAACCCCACACTAATCTCCTCCGACTCGCAAGAATTGACGTGGAAAGTCTCGAAACTCAAAGCTTTGGATAGGGGGCTCAGGGAGCGATTGCGGGCCAATGGGGTGAGGTATTTGTTTCCGGTGCAAGCGGAAGTGATCCCCTGGTTGCTACAAGTGCGTCAAAATGCCAAAATCATGTTCCCGAGGGATGTGTGTGTGAGTGCGCCCACCGGAAGTGGGAAAACCCTAGCATTTGTTTTACCAGAGGTGCAAACCTTAAAACAATTCACTGTGAAGAAAATCAGGGCTTTAGTGATTTTGCCCACTCAGGATCTCGCTGAGCAAGTGTTTAAAAGCTTCAAATTGTACACACAGAGGACCAAAATAGGAAGTTGGCCTCATCTCAGGCAAACATTTGTTTAATTTTGAACAAAAACAATTGGTTTATTTCAACGCAGCCTTTGGTTTTGTTAGCAAAATTGATATTCTTGTGTGTACAGGGTGCTGAATTTTGGATGTCCGAATAGGGAAACTCCGAAACTAAGAGGTTTAGGCAAAAACAAGTAATACATTCTGGGGCTCATTTTTTGAGAAAATAATATTGGTTAAAACCGCATCCAGCTATCGTCTTTTGTTTTCGACTTATAGACAAAAATTGACATTTCAGCGAAATCTAAAAAAATTCATATCTTCGTTATTATAGAAGACACAGATTTGAAATAAAGACATTAAAGACACTTTTTTACGTAGAATTTAGTAATGTAGTTAACAATTTTTTTCAGTTGTTTGTTTAGCAGTAATAAAATAAACTTGTATTTTTTTAAATGGGAATCATAGATGGCTATGTCATTTTTAAAAAGCTTGTTTTTTTCTTATCTAAAAAATATATATTTGCAACAAATTATTATAATACATTTTTAGCAAAAAATTATCTTTCATTTTTGTTCGCAGTTGGCCATGAAAAAATGTTGCATCTTCAACCAAAAGGATTTAAACTATATTATATTCAACCAGTGTCACTAATGAAAGAGTTTTCTAAGTACTAAGTAATGAAAAAAATGCAAAATAAATTGTAAATCAACTTATTGGCGACTAATAACATTTCTTTGTTTTTAAACAAGCTAATATTACCATTGCAACTTCTAGTGATACATAGAGTGTTGTAAAAAAAGCCGCTTTAATTCTTCAATAAAATATATTTTATATGACACAAAAATGACCATATGGCTATTCAAATACCCAAATTCCGTCTATGTGAAACGTTAACCTACCTCCATTAGATCATCGAAAAAATGTTTTTTGTAATTGTGTTGACTGTTGACACATTTGTTTTTCCTATTTTTGGATTTTTTAAAAATATGTAATAATTTTGTTCTGAGGCGCTCGGATATTTGTTCAATGCTTCTACCGTATCGTATTTTTAAATCTTTATAATTTTATCTATTTTTTCATCTATTTTACAGTTCACAAAACTCTTATTGATTATTATTTACACATCTGAAGTGAAATAGTTTTTCCATGGCCAACTATTATCACACAAAATATGTATTTCACTTTTTAAGTATAGTTATAAAAAAATATTTTACAAATATATATTTTTTAGATCAGAAAAAAATAAGCTTTTCAAAATTGCCGTAGCCGCCTATGATTTCCATTCAAAAAAATACAAGTTTATCTTATTACGGTTAAACTAATAACTGAAAAAAATTGTTAACTACATTATTAAATTCTACGTGAAAAAGTGCCTGTATAATGTCTTTATTTCAAATCCGTATCTTCTATAACAACGACGATATGAATTTTTTTAGATTATGCCAAAATGTCAACTTTTGTCTGTAAGTCGAAAACAAAAGACGATAGCGGGATGCGGTTTTAACCAATATTATTTTCTCAAAAAATGAGCCCCAGAATGTATTACTCGTTTTTGGCTAAACATCTTAGTTTCGGAGATTCCCTATTCGGACATCCAAAATGCAGCACTCTGTACAGCTGGCCGATTAGTGAATCACTTGAAATTGACTGAAGGTTTTGATTTAAAATCACTCGAATTTCTGATTATTGACGAAGCTGATCCAGTTTTGGAAAGTGTGCAAGATGATTGGTTGTACCACTTGGAGAGGCACATTTGTGTACAAAATCGTCGGGTTTTAAATTTGTGCACTTTGCGCGGGCTTAGAGCCCGTCAAAAGCTCCTCTTTTCGGCGACTTTGACTCAAGACCCCGAAAAAATCGAGAAATTATCACTTTTCCAGCCGAAACTTTTCATGGGAAACCCAGGTGAGAAAAAATCGGGGAAATACACAACACCGAGAGAGCTAACCGAAAAATACATTATGTATTTTTACGTGAAAACTTGACAAAGACTTTGATTTTCACCCATTCGGTTGAGAGTGCCCATCGACTGAAAATCCTCCTCAAATCGCTGTTCAAAAATCGGCTGAAAATCGAGGAAATATCCTCAAATTTGAAGGGGAAAAACCGCGATGAGTTTATTTCGAGTTTCACAAAGGGTGAAATTGATTTATTAATTTGTACTGATTTTCTAGCACGAGGGATCGACTTGCTGGGGGTGAATTGTGTAGTGTCTTATTAACCCCTCAAATATCTGAAAACTTACATACATAGAGGGGGGAGGACAGCAAGGGCGGGTGAATCGGGGGTGGCTGTGACACTTTTACATGAGGAACAAGTGCCAGCGTTTAAAGCCTTGTTGAAGAAGGAGATTGAGGAGGTTGAGGTCGGGGTGGAGGAGTTGGAGGGGATGAGTGAGAGGTATAAGAAGGCGTTGAGGAGGCTCAAGGAGGTGGTTAACAAAGAGGAGAAAGTGGGCATGGATAGTGTTTTGGCGAAGAAAAAGGCCTTGAAGAAGTTAAAGAAGAAGATTAACACGATTAAATAACAAATCTTGGTTTTGTAATAATAAAATGATTTCTTTATCAAAACCAATGTTTTAGTTTCTTACCTTATAGCACCCAAAGGAGGCTGCAAACATTTTTTTACTTTATATTTTAATGTGAGGTTATGTTACTTGTTTAATAATAAAAGGATGCCAACAAAATTGTTATTTCAACAAAGAATGTTTTTGGATAAATTATCACAATAATAATAGTTGGTACGGTATTTTAAAGCATTTTCACATTATTCAACAATAAGTAAATAAAATCAATTACTTTTATTACCAAATAAAACTAATAAATTGTGTGTGGTTGGCAGTACTTTTTTTAATTTTGACGCGCAATTTAGTTTTTTCGAAAAAAACAGCTTAGAAAAAGGTTAACTCGGTTAAATAGCAATTGATTTTTGTAATAATAAACTAATTACCCATTTTTGTCTTTCAGTTATACCAATATGTAGTTTAACAAAAATGCTTCTTACCTGACACTGGGTAGTTTTTTGGTGTTGGGCCCAGAAGGGGATGGCACGTCCAAGACAAGTGGGTCTGTGCTTATTTTATTCCATAAATTTTGTATTGGAACGGAAGTGAGGTTATGAGACTTTGTTCGGAAATAAAAACATGACAACAAAATTGTAGTATGTTTTTTAATAAAATCACAATAAAATGCGCTTAGTTAATACGATATGTTGACTATTGTCACGACTTTTTAGTTGGTATGGAAGTGACCCAGGAGGCACCTTTAACAGCCCAGAATCGCGTTGAAGTGGCCTGGGAGGAGATCGAGGCTGGGGTGGACGCTGTGGGGCCCCGAACATTAGGCAAAATTGGTGTTGCTCGCTTCAAAGCCGAGAAAACCATGGCACTGGAGACTCTTGAATCCCTTCACAAGTCACTCGAGACATGCCCCGGTGAGAAAGACACCCTGGAGGAGCCCCAAGGTCTCAAAATCCCTCTAATGCCCCACCAGAAACAAGCCCTGGCTTGGCTTCTATGGCGCGAGAAACAGAAGCCATCAGGGGAGCTCCTAGCCGACGACATGGGACTTGGTAAAACTCTCACGATAATTTCCCTAGTGTTAAAATCAAAAGAACTAAATCTTGATACTAAAGACGAGGAAAATCATCGTGAGAAGCGACCAGGGGGCACTTTGGTGGTACGCCCCGCCAGTCTTATGAACCAATGGTCGGAGGATATTAAGAGGAGAACGAAAAGGGGGCAATTATCGGTGGAAGTCTACCACGGGGCTAAACGCGAGACTAAACCAAAACGACTCACTGAACACGATATTGTGATTACGACTTATTCCTTGATTTTGAATGAAAATAGCCGAGATGGTTTTTGGGGTTCACTGGCGCAGGATTATCCTGGATGAAGCCCATCAGATTCGTAATCACACATCGAAGACTTCCGAGGCGATTTGTCGGTTATCGGGGGGGCCCCGGTGGGCCTTAACTGGCACTCCTGTTGACAATAAAGAACTGGACAAGCATGCAATTTTCAAGTTTTTGCGGTGTTCCGCCTTTGATGATCGCCATGTTAGTTTTTTTTGTTTTTGATTGTGGTAATAATTGGGGTTTTACAGAAGATTAACGCGGTTAAATAGCAAATCTTAGTTTTGTAATAATAAAATGATTTCTTTATCAAAACCAATGTTTTAGTTTCTTACCTTATAGCACCCAAAGGAGGCTCAACATTTTTTTTACTTTACATTTTAAGTGAGGTTATGTTACTTGTTTAGTAATAAAGTGATGCCAACAAAATTGTCATTTCAACAAAGAAAAAGTTTTTTTCGATAATTTATCACAATAAGCGTTTAGTTGGCACTTTCACACTATTCAACAATAAATAAATAAAATCAATTACTTTCATTACCCAATCACAGATCTGTGACCCAATAAAACTAATAAATTGCTTCTTACCTGACACTGAGTAGTTTTTGGTGTTGGGCCCAGAAGGGGGTTGCACGTCCAAGACAAGTGGGTCTGTGCTTATTTTATTCCATAAATTTTGTATTGGAACGGAAGTGAAGTTATGAAATTTTGTTCGGAAATAAAAACATGGCAACAAAATTTCAACAAAGCACGTTTTTTAATAGAATCACAATAAAATGCGCTTAAAATGATATGTTGACTATTTTGCATAAATAATACAAAAAATAAATTTAAAAATCATATCACAAATTGTGTGGGGTTTGCAATACTTTTGGTGAATTTTGACGAGCAAAAAATTATCGGCTTTGGAAGTTTTATCTGGTTTTACCTTGTTTTTTGTGTTAAATTGTGATTAGATTTGCAAATCATCCAGTGTTAAGAGCCCCACGATTGAATTATGAGCAACCAAAGTGACAATTTCGACCAGGAGGAGGACCTTTTTAATGGTATTTTTTAATCTCACTCTTATTTTATCAAGTTTAACGCAAATAAAAAGCTTCTTATTACACAGATGAGGAAGATGGGGCCCCAGAAACCGAAAATCTGTCACGACTTAGTTACAGAGAGACCAGTCAAGTCACTGACGACGAAAGTGACCAAGAAAATAACCCCAAGACTTCCCAGGACACACCTGAAATAATTGAGGACTCCCTCAGCATTGTTGAAATAAGTGACGACGAGGAGCCCCCGAGTTCAAGACTTGACGTCAAAAGGGAGCCCCCAGAAGTTCAGATTGAAAACACTGACGATGAGCAACCAGGAACGAGTCTCAAACAAACAAAAATCACTTCCTTTGTCACGAAACCGACACATAAAACAGTCGTGGGGCACCAGGAGTACCAAGAACAAGTGAAAAAAGTCAACTCAATTGAGGCTGATTTATTGAGGACTAGAGTGAGTAAAAGATTGAGTTTTCTAAATTTAATTAAACAATTTTAGAATGCTATGAGGGTGATAAAAGTAGAGAATTTGCCAGATCGGGGGAAATCCCTCACTGAGAAAGTCCAGTCTTTGGGGGAATTACTTCAAAAACAGAAGACTATTTTAGATGGTATGGAAGTGACCCAGGAGACACCTTTAACAGCCCACAATCGCGTTGAAGTCGCTTGGGAGGAGATCGAGGCTGGGGTGGACACTGTGGGGCCCCGAACATTCGGCAAAATCGGTGTTGCTCGCTTCAAAGCCGAGAAAACCATGGCCATGGAGACTCTTGATTCTCTTCACAAGTCGCTCGAGACATGCCCCTGTGAGAAAGACACCGTGGAGGAGCCCCAAGGTCTCAAAATCGCACTAATGCCCCACCAGAAACAAGCCCTGGCTTGGCTTCTATGGCGCGAGAAGCAGAAGCCATCAGGGGGGCTCCTAGCCGACGATATGGGACTTGGAAAAACTATCACGATGATTTCCCTAGTGTTAAAGTCACAAGAACTAAATCTTGATAATAAAGACAAGGAAAATCATGATGAGAAGCGACCAGGGGGCACTTTGGTGGTATGCCCCGCGAGTCTTATGAACCAATGGTCGGAGGAGATTAAAAGAAGAACGAAAAGGGGGCTATTATCGGTGGAAGTCTACCATGGGGCGAAACGCGAGACTAAACCAAAGCGACTCGCTAAACATGACATTGTCATCACGACTTACTCCCTAATTTTGAATGAGAATACCCGAGATGGGGCTGTTTTTGGGGTGCACTGGCGAAGGATCATCTTGGATGAGGCTCACCAGATCCGTAATCACAAATCGAAGACTTCCGAGGCGATTTTTCGCTTATCGGGGAAGTCCCGGTGGGCCTTAACAGGCACTCCTGTTCACAATAAAGAACTAGACATGTATGCAATTTTCAAGTTTTTGCGGTGTTCCCCCTTTGATGATCTCCAGGTTAGTTTATTTTTGTTTTTGAATTTGGTAATAATTGGGGGTTTTACAGGTGTGGAAGCATTGGGTTGGTGATAAGAGTACAGGAGGGGCGATGCGTCTCCACACTGTTATCTCTTCGTTGATGTTGAGACGCACCAAAGCCGACTTGATGGAGAAGGGGGTTTTGGAGAGTTTGCCTAATCGTACTTGGGAATTAATTTCCGTCAAGTTGGAGAAAGAGGAGATGGATGTTTATCAGAAAGTTTTGATTTTTTCAAGGACACTTTTCGCACAATTTTTGCACCAAAGGGCTGAGAAAAATCAAGATGCTTATGATTTTACATTCAACGGACTTCCACGTAATTTTTCATTTTACTTAAATGTTGACAACGTTTACACGGCTTTTTTTAAACAAAATTTTAATTATTCAAGTTTAACACAGTTGAATAAAATGTCATGCGAATTATTGTTTTTTCAACGTAAAATTGATGTATAACAGTTTAAGAACACCGTGTAAACGTAGTCACACTAATGCTAACATCATTTTTGAACAAATTTCCTTTTGTTATTGGCAATAAATTGGGGGTTTGGTATTTTTTTTACTAAAACAAAGTATTTTACTGTTTGTTGTTGTGATTTTACATTAAAAAACGATTCAAATTACATCAAAAAGTATTGACATTTGTCACAAATGTCATTGTCAATTTTTTCACAGCAATCTAGATTTATGAGTAAAATATTGATAACGTTTACACGGCCTTTAAATCGATTTTGAGAAAATAAAATTTAGGCTTTATTTACGTTTTTTCCATTTATAATTATTTATATTTTCACAAATGAATAAAATGTAATGCTAATTATTGTTTTTCCAATATAAAATTGTTTTTTTTTTGTAATTTCGATTTCAAAAATATGACATTTGTTATAAATTGTTAATTTTTTTGTTACTTATTTTAGCCGACCCGAATGGTGAATATTTTAAAATGAGGAACCGTTTATTGAAATTGAATCGCGTCAAAGAAGTGAGTCAACACGATATTCTAGTTTTATTACTCCGATTACGACAGATTTGTTGCCATCCCAGTTTGATCAAACAAGTGAGTGAATTAATAAAATTAATAAATTTCAAACTAATTTAAATCAGATGTTGCAAAGCGATGAAGATTTGGGCAATGCTGAAGATCAGGAAGAATCAGAAGAGTTGAATCTCCTCGAACAATTGAATCGATTAAACATAGATGAAGAAGAAGAAGAGTCAAATGTTGCTACAGGTCTCGCTAATGAAACTGTTGGTTTGAAAGAAGCGTCAAAAGGCTACTTGAATCCCTCAAATCCGGTTTTTACTACAGAACATGCGAGTAGTAAAGTGAGTTAGGTGTTAATAATTTTGAAATTACTTAATTTTTTTTTATTTCAGATTCGGGCATTAATCAATTTACTCAAAACGAAGATTGGTGAGGATAAAGCAATTGTGGTTTCACAGTGGACTGGTTTATTACATTTGGTTGCAATCCATCTCAAGAACGAGGGAATCCCCTATGATAGTCTTGATGGTTCGGTTTTAGTCCATAAACGAATGCCAATTGTGGATAATTTTAATGATCCAAATAGTGCTACTAAAGTTTTATTACTTTCGTTGACAGCTGGTGGAGTGGGCTTGAATTTGGTTGGAGCAAATCATTTGTTTCTGTTAGATTTGCACTGGAATCCTCAATTGGAAAATCAAGCACAGGACCGGATTTATCGGATGGGACAAAAGAAGAATATTTATGTTTACAAGTTTGTGTTTTTTTTTTTTGTTTTTTTTTTTATTCTAATTACACAATTGTTTCAGGTTTATGGCACTTCAAACGATTGAGGAAAGAATTAAGGCCCTTCAAGAGAGGAAACTCGAAATTGCAAATGCCATGCTCACAGGATCGAAACAAGTAACTAACAGTAAACTGTCCCTACAAGATTTAAAAATGCTTTTTGATTTTCAATAACTGTGTATATTTGTTTTATATGTATGTATTTTATTTTTTGTGTTGTTTTTGACTGTATAATTTTACCTAATGAACGATAATTTACAAAAAAAAATTGCAAAATGTTGGTATATTATTTTCCTGTAATCAAGGCCATCTGAATCAAAAAGCTTTTTGAAAAATAGACAATTGTGGCGCTCTCTACACGACAAGTTAAATAACATCTAAATGCATTTAAAGAAAACTACTTGGAAAAAAACGTGATGTGATGATGGTGTACATAATTACTTTGTTAGTTCATGCTACAAAAATTTGATTGCAATTGTACTTAAGTCATTGTACGTAAATGTTATAAAGAACATTATGCAGTTTGTTCTTTACGGCCTTCTGTTTTTAAACTTTAGTGATAGATGGCGCTGAGTGTCAGTCAGTAAATTGAACAGTGACTGCAACAGGACAGTTACTGTAGTAAATTGTGGTAAATTGGTTGGTTAAGGTTGAACTATATTGGGAACTAATGTGTTGCTGGCACACAAGGTGGCGCCATATTTAGCGCCGTAGCCGACAACCCAACATACACTTGTTCCCAGTCCCAACAGATTTAGTTCATTTCTTTGTGATATACCAGTCTTTCATATTTCTACTAGCCACTAGAGGGCTTTTTACTAAACCTGCTTCAAGGATCTTGACCTTCAGCAGTTAGGCAAACAAGCACCGAAGGGTAGTAATAACAATATGATCATAAAATAATAAAATTCTTAGATTCGATAGCAAGTCGATGCATTATGGTAAAACACCGATTTAAAATTGAGTTATCATAATCAGTAATCACTCTTGTTTATTAATTAACATAATTTTTGGTTATTTGTTATTTACTGGAATGGGGCATAATTTTTCTTTCGCTGTAATTAGTATTTATCTAGAAAAAAGGATTAGAGATTACACAATGGGTGATATATCTTATATTATTTTTTCTATTTTGTTCTCACAATAAGCATTTTGTGTAACTGAAAACAGTTGCATAAAATGCAATTTTGTGAAACTGTTTTTTGGCGACATTTTATGCCATACTTTGACCATCACTGGCATAGACTGTCATTTTTAAGTGAGAAATTGTTGCAGTTCAACGTATTTCACCGAAACTAATATGATTTAATCTATTTTCAAGAGATTTGGGTCAAATGTCATAAATTTTAACAATCAAATATAATAAATTCAATTTAAAAAGCGTTGAATTGAAAAAATATTAGTATAAAATACGCGTGTCACAACCTCTCATTTGATACTTGTGCATTTGTAGCACGATCAGCGTGTTTGTAACATTTGTTTTCTAATAGGCAACAAATTAAATGGACAGTATATTATTTAAAATGGCAAGTATTTTTGAACAGTGGAAATAAATAAATGTACAGTAAAAATAATAAATGCACAGTAAAATAAATAAATGTACAGTAAAAATAATACACATTTACAAACAAAATGTTTCCGAGGAAAACTGGAATGTGGCAAAGCCTTCAAAAACAAAATTATGGTATCAAGAGCACAGCAGTGCAAAGAGTAGCGTACGCTGATTAGACTAATTATTACCATTTGTGCACAGTTTTCAGCTCTTGCTAAAATCATTCTTACGCAGGGACCCTTGTTAATACATATATTACTACTACAATAATAATAATAAATAACATTCTTACGCAGGGGCCATACTTGACTGACAATTTCTTAGATTTTATGTTATTTTGCTAATTTATTATTTTTACTTTGCAAATTGGATTTTTTTACTGAACAAATTACAATAAAATACTGTGCGTGCTTTACTTAGCATTTATTATTTTTACTGTGCAAAATATTATATTATACTTACCATTTTAATTTTTTTCCTGTGCAAAAATTAATTAAATACTGATCAATTATCATTTTATACTGATCAAAATTGAATTATTTACTGAGCGTTTTATATAGTATATAATATACTAATTTTTCGTACTATTTTAATTTTATTGGATCCGAAAAAGATTTATTTTGAGGCCTCAAATGAGTCCGTGAAATAGTAATTTTTGGAGCGTATACAAAAAAAAGTATTTTTGTAATATTCTTTTTTGTCTCCTTAACACTTTTTTTAGTACGCCACCTGTAAGTAATTAATCTTTACGATTAGAATCATAATAAGTGACATTTTAAAGTTAAGCTGTTTTCAGCGTTCCTTTACTAGATGCAAAATACATGAGGATTATGGCGATAAATTACTTGCTAATGGCTTGTCATTTATCAATCCCTTCATTAAAATTTATAATTTTAGTTATTAGCACTCCGAGATCCTTTGCCTTTCATTTTTATTAATTTCGACTAAGCAGTGTCGTTCCGGTTAAATGAATATGCAAAGTAATGTTCATATGGGACCTGAATGTTCCTTCAAGGCGGTATTACGGTGTTCATCCCCATATTAACTATTATATTAAAAGGAGCGATTCGTTGTGATATGCGAAGAGAATGTAATCCGATAAACTGGATGTTATCGAGATGTAGCAGCAAACACATGATGTGCACTCTAAATATCAAATATTTATATCTATTCTGTCTTGAGAACGGGGCAATATATTTTTCGGTTTTCCTGAATAATGCTACCGCTGTATCTTTATGTAGGTCTGTCTGCGATGCACGAAGAGGTGTTTCATGAATTCACAGCTAATCAGACCGAGAAAATTGAATGTGTGCCATTATTTCCTTTTATGTGAAAGCTTGTAAAAAATAAATAGGTACGTTTTCACTGGTGAAACAAATTTGCTCTGGATTAATTCTACAAAACGTAAAAACACGGAATTTTAATTCGACTTTTTGAGGGCGGCTTGGAGTTAATTTTTTGTCAGACTGCTTCAAAAAACTTTATTTTTAACATAACGTTCTTATTTTGGTAGTGAAATATACATGTAGTGTCCGGTGTCTCTGGTATTTGGTTATATTCGTAGCAAACTACTTCCAAATCTCAGAATATTCAACTGTCAGTTTTCGTTTCTATATCTCTGTGTAATGGCAGTCAAACACAACACATTTTCTGATAAGCGTTCCTTCAGAGCGATTTAGCTAACAACAAACGTTGACACGATTCGATTATTCCCCAATTTGCTGCTTCGCCAGTTAACTGATAATTTTTTCTTGAGATCACGCATCGCTAAGCGTGTTTATCAAGATCTCGAGTTGGGCGTAATTCGTCGACATAATTTATGTGCGTGATAAATAGGAACACCACAGTTGGATATGTAGGAAAGGAAAGCGAAACTCAGATCTGCTACATATTTGTCAGCTGTCTCACTGTTTTCAAACAGGAGGAGCGCACGGAGAATAATATAGTCTAGTTTGAAGTAAGCTAGACGTACTTGGAGAATTTGCAACCTCAAATAGTGCTATTTAATGCATTAGTCTCGCTTCAGGCGTCTCTATGTACTGTCTTGCTAAATGCGTTCTCGTGATACATAGTTAATGCTTCTGCAGCCTGGCTTCAGCCGCCCACATTTTGGCTGCATGTTCAGAGCCCAATTTAAAAAAAAAATTAATTTCATTCAACATCGCATCTACATGGGTTGTTCTTAAGGACGATACAAAACAATAATCGAAAAATTGACTAGAAAAATTATGAGCGCTTTAGAGGTAATTTTTTTTTAATTTACCTTGACATTAGGTTATTGATTTAGAAAACATTTTGTGGGACATGTATAATATGTTTTAGCGCAATTAGATTCTATTCGATTGTTTACTACGTCTGTTTCCAAGACAGTAAGTTGTATTTACTCATTGCTATCCCAAACTAGTCGGTAAGTATTCAAATACGTCGCCAAAGGATTTTGGCGTTCTAGAATTTTTTTTAGATATTTTATTAAAAAACTAACAAAAATCAATTGCGAACGTTAAGGACTTACGGAGCTCAGACAATACTATTTTGGGTTAATATTTCTTTACGTGGTATAATTTGTGGTTTAACATTTTATTCTGTGTGTAAGAACTCCGAGTATGTAGACGGTGGTGTCGACTTAGTATACTACATTTTTTAACCTATGAAATTTAGAGTTAATTTAATGATAAGCCTTGGGTTTCCTTTTCTTTAAATTTCAATCACAAAACAAATCTACTCGTATTGGCATCAGTTTTTTGGTAGTTTAGAACCATTGGATTTTTAGCTCTAAAGTTGTAAACCGCGTATTAATTAGTTAATGAAATTGTTTTTCTTTGAATCACTAGAAGAACGAAATCATCTTGTGATTTGTCAATAATATCAACTAATTTCAACATAACGTGACTCCCTTTCTAAAAAGTACATTTTTCTGTTAGTTTTGCATTAAAGTAAATAAAAAAACTTGCGTACTTCTTTATGTTTATCTGGTCTCTCACTGTCACTTGCTTCTTTACTTCAAAAGAATAATGCATAAGTTTTCAAGCTCTAAAATTCATACATCGGTTTGTTAATATGAACGAGTATCAGATCGAAGAAAAGGTTGAGAAGGAACAATACCTCTGAAGAAGTTTTAGAGAGTCATCGGAAATTTCCAGAATGTTTAGAAATCGAGTTTTCAAAATAATTTTTGATCATTGTTAATAATAATAAACAATTTTGTCTCATTATACTCGTGTAAAACCTCTTGAGCGAGAAAAATACTGGTAATGTCACCCACATGACAGGTGTCAAAATTACGGTAGACCAGCTATTTTTTAAAGTTCTGGGCAAATTTTTATTATTTTTGTAACCTAGAAGCGGATATAATTTTTCAATCACACTTTGAGGTGCGCTTCTGGGATTGGTGGATTTAAGAGTTTAATAATTTACTTTTTCGGCTGCACTTTTTGGCGATCTATTGCCGTTGGCACTTGACATTTTTCTCTAGGGCGCGAGTGCTGGCGCACTCTGTATAATAGTAGTTTCGTTTGATTTTAAATTGAGAAAATATGTGTTAAAATATATTTTTTAAAGTCTTGAGGTAATTTTATTAATATTAATTGAAATTGTTTCCATTTTAAATTTCACAAAAATTTATTGACAAATATGTAGCAGAGATTTTAGAGCCGAAAATTTTACGTGGAACACCCTGTATAATTTATTTTTATTGTAAAACTTTTAATAAACAACTGAAAATAGTTTTATTGTAGTTTCTACAAAAAAACATGCAATAAAGATTACATAACTAACGAGCTTTTTTTTCACCATTAGCTAATAATCCTGAACATAAATGAATGTAATTGTAAGTTTTAACAATACTACTATTATGTCAATGACTTGTACATTACAAAAAATTGGGGTTGGAATAAGGCTTTCGTCTTTCTTTATTGCTTTACATTTTTGTTTGACTATCATAAAATAAGAACAATATTGCGAGAAATAATGTTAACTTTTAGTGATATTTAATGTTTACTAATAATTTATCTAACATTGTTCTAAAAGTTTAAGAAAAATGTTTCAAGAAATGAAATGTGTTTCAGTAACTAGTCATTGTTCAGTAAATATTTTTTCCAAGATAATATAATTTTTTTTAAACAATTGTATTTTTATCACATTTTAGTACAAATTTGGTGGAGGCGCCGGGCAAATGTATAGACGTTTGAACTATGATTTTAGTAATTTAATTTAATTTTAACATTTTAACTTTTGGTTTATTTATCAACAGGTTTGATGTAGATTGTAAATAACTTTACGACCTTAGGGAAATAATTCAATAATTTTATAATGTTTTCTTAGTAGATACTTAAGTAACACTTTTTGTATTTTTCTCGAGTTTTTAGTCACTTACAATTACAATCTTGTTAAATCCGTTATCGAAATCAACGTTGGTTTTATCTCTTGGAATTGTGTGTTCGTAGTGCGTCAACAGGAGACATATATGGTCTCTTTTAAACATAGCTCACTAAAGTCCTTTTAACCACAACTAATAACACGGTCCAATTTAAATAAGTAGGAAAGTGGAGCGTAGCTGAAACGAAATTACATGAAGCTGAAGCCGTTCATTAGAGACACATGTGTTTCCCTATTCGCTGAAGCGCGTCGTTCCCAAGTATGTGTAGAAACTTCCGAAAATAATATATGTTTGCCTGACAATCTGAAAACTTTGCCGAAATAGACGCTTGAACTTCCTATACTCGTGGACACAAATCTACCCCTTGGGTCATTCCGTCAATGTGTCACATAAGTAATTACTTTGGTAATGAGTTACGGTTAATTATAGTTTCAATACTCGCGTGTACTGCCACAAATAAGAAGCGAGACTGAACTATCCGAATATCATAATTGACCATAACAAAAAACCAAACACCAATTTACACCAGGAGAAATATGTTTTATTAGGTGTTGCTCCTGAAAGCAGCATTGTTTACCAAAGTCCGTTGTGATTTCCTGAAGTGCAAAATTTATTGGAGATATCTGGTCGGTTAATCTCTATTCGCAACCGGCAATTCGGTTTGGGATAATTGCGAGCTTTTGGTAAATTATTATTAGTGACACAAAACAATAAGTTTTATGAAACAAATTTTTACTTTTTATGAATGTTTTAAATGACTTATGTGTGCACTAAAACGGGGAAAAAATATAGAAATGTTAACTAGTCTGTATTTTTGTGCAATTCGCCTACAAAAATAAATCTCTGTACATGTCATCGGATAAAAATCAGAGAAAATAATAAACCGCGACAGCAATTGAATCGTGATTGAAAAATATTACTGACCATCGTTAAAACAATCCAGCCATTAGAGTTGGTTGATAAAATTTGATTTTAAAATGAAAACTGGTTTTATTCATGCGATTACATTTGCAAGTTTCCAACTTCTCTTTAAAACATTTCTACTTTTTGTTTGAAGGCCAGTTATACTTACAAGTTTATTCTGTTTGCTATTTGAATGAATGTAGATAAGGTCTCTGAGCTCTTTGATTCCCTCTAAAATAACCAACATTTTCACTTACGTTAGGCTGTAGGCTTAACCGTAAATTTAAAATTTATGTTTTACTTTACCTTTTAAATGATGATCAAATAATTTTCTTCGTCGCGTGTATGCTTGGAATGTATTTATTTTTCATTAATTTATAAGATGAGAAGAGACTGGAACTATTTTCTCTTAGAAATTTTTATTTTTTCGTACGAAATGTTTTTTTGAATATTAGTTGGATGTAGTTGTAAACGTATATTGATTTTACATGCTTGAAAAAAAAAGATTGATTGCACCGTAGGGAAATTCCATTATTCTTGATCCAGCCGTGAAGTTATCTACAATAGGTATATGCTCTGACATAAAATATTTATGTCATTTCATTTTTTTTCTTATTATAAAGCTAGAGCTTTTTAAGTTGCTTCCTGAAATTCTAACGTAATTACGTTATTGTTATTCTTTAAGAACAGAAGAATTTATCTACTAGTGGTTCAGCGAAAGCAAATTAATTTAACACAATATTTTATACAAGTTCATTTTTCTCCCTGTATTTGAGAATTAAATTAATTTTTATTCTAATTGAATATCAACGTTGCAAAATTCATAAAACAATTAAAATTTCACATTCTTCTAGTAATAATAGTTAAAACAGAATGAAACAATTAAAACTTAAGTGGTTAGACGCTATAAAAGTACACTTAAGATTTTTCTAATCTTGCTCAAAATTGGTGAAGTTTATTCCCATTGATCCTATACATTTTAGAGTAGATGTCCAATAATAGCATTTACAGTGTGTTCACTTTGACTCGAGATTTATAGAAATGTCTCTGTAAATGTCTGAAATTGGTCACTGTGGAATAAAATGGCCGTACTCCGGAGAGCATTGTTAAAAAATGAACTCTCCGAATTGACGAAAAAATTTAGAAACAAGCAAACACAAAAGTAAAAATCGTAAAAATGCATTTCCTGTTTGTTGGTAAAACACTTAAAGTTTTTCAACTAATCGTGAAATATTAAAGACATTTCATTACTAAGTCTCTTTAATTTTTTATATCGTTGAAGATGATGATTAACTAAAGTGTAAGTAAACAATTTTAAAACAACGATTAAATAAGAATTTTCTTGACTTAAACTTTTTGTTTGCGACATTATATTTTATTGATTTTTGTATTAAATTTAATTCGTACCGCTTAATTTCTACGGGGATAGGTACACAAACAGAACATTAAATGTGAATAAATCATAGCTTGACCTGAAACGTTATTTCAAATTTATATTTATGAAATTATACCAGTGCGGTATTAAGCCTATAAAGAACAGAAGTGAAGGTGGATAATATGCATAACAGGGTAGATCATACACAAAAACATGTATAAGCTTCTAGAAGCTTGGAGTAGCAAGTTGTTAATAAAAAGAAAGCTTCCTGACATAGTTTATGTGTGAGCTTTCGTACATTAAATGATGCTTTTATGAGCTTTCATATCCAAAGCCAGATGGGTGAATCCTTGTCATATTCCAAAACGTCTAAATCCATTTGATACAACTCGTTATGTCTCGCCCATAAATCGATAACGCTTTGATTGCTGTAATAAATATCAGGGTAGAAATTTCTAATAGTTTCTAATTTTCTTTTCAGCCTTTTAAAAGTCGCCAGTTTTCGCGCTTCATTTTCTTTAAAATTACTTTCTTGAAAATGTGAGCTTTGCCATTTTTGTCGGTGCATTTTTGTGGTCAAAACATCCCAACTTTTGCACTTACCTTCCTCTAAGTGGGAAAAACTATTAAATGTTAAATACGACATACTACTATTAACTCACCTTGGAAGTTTAATTTTCTTTTGGTGGAGTCAGCGTCAGGCTTAATAAAATTATTTATGTAGAGATTCACCGCATCTAGAGAAAAACCTTCACGTATGAGGGCCCCTTGGTCCTGCTTCTTGGCTTGGACTGGTAAAATTTCATATTTAATTTTTTTTGGATTGGGTCGAAAAAACATTTTAACGATTCTGTGACATTTAAAATGTGTCAACTCAACGCGAGTATTATTAGCTTAGCTGATTGTTTTCAGAGGCAACATGCGAGAGATGTAACCTAATTTGACGGTCTATCTATCTGTATTTGTCGTATTCTCAAAAGCCCTCGGCTGTGTTTGAGTGGTAAACATTAACACATGCGGAAATATGTAAATATGGATCCGCTCGAGATGACTACGTTAACAAATAAGCAATGCAATTATGAAAGCTCTGCCCTTTTGAGCCTCGGGCCAAATCTTGTTTATTTGTTGAGTGTGTTATTTGAGGTTGCAAAAAATGAACTCGGGGTCTGAATCAGATAACACATTTATATTCTTCTCTTTGTGTAATTTTACCAATCTTGACTCGACTTGTTTACAGATTCGCAACAGCATCGAAAATAAGGACTCGGATCTGAAAGCCTCGACACAAGCTCTTTGTCAAATTTGATACCCCTGCTAAAATAATTCAGAAACATAGTTTATTATTTATGAATTTTTATGAAAAATTGTAAATAACTGAACTGACGTCTTGAAGTAAAGATTTTTGTACGCAAGATGCTTTAAATTTTAAGTAAGGAAAAGTTTATAAAAAGAGTAACTTAGTTTACTAAACTTTATTTCTATAAACAAAATACTTAATAAATAGTTATTTATTATACAAGATGATAAATAAATTGTTTATCTACGAGTGAAAAGGTTAAGTTTACGAGTGACGAAGTCACTTATAATAGGTATTTCGTTTTATTTTGTAGGTACTCACCTACCAGAATTTCTTGAATCTAAACAGTAGATAAAAATTACTTTATTTCACTAGACGATAAAAGACTATTTTATCTACTAAAATTTGTTGATAGAAGCACTGTTTAACATTGAGTACAAAATAAACAATATTGAATTATTTCTATCAGAAAATTATTCGACTACTAACTCTTGGTAAATTGTTTTTTTATTTTGTTATTTGTAGTTTCTTTTCTAATTTTGTTCTTAATAGAAATAAAACAAAAACGTAAGTTGTCCGGTAGATATTTGTGATCAAAATAACTTGTAAAAGTAACTAACGAGTATTAAGTTTCGTGTTGACAAGACGAAAAACCGCAACCTTTTTTCTCCTGGTTGATTTCAGCAGACACATGCTCAATTACTCTCCATTTAAACTCATTCAATTATTGCATTTTCTTTTGTGCCGTTTTTATTTCTCGACACAGCCACAATGAAACACAATAAGGTTGAAAAATGCGTATGCTTGTGTTTAATTAAATTGAGTATTTTGTGTCAAATACTCCTTTATGTTCTGAGAGTATAATTGCATAACAAATTTTGGGTGTTATCCACAAGCGCAACAATTACACCTCTGGAGCCGCCTTTTTAGTCCTGTTCAGAGTTTAAGTCGATGATGTTATCAAGTTGTATGGCGATTATAATGTATGGAAGTTGTTGGAGCATAACAGGTTAACACCGTTTAGTTCTGCAAGCAGCTGTACTTTAGATTTCCATCCAACAGTGTCTAATGAACACAATAACTTTACTATTACGATTAACCTTAATAGTCTTTCAATGAAACAATAGAGTCAAGTTTGGAGAATGTTGCTACCCAATTACTCTCAGTGATGGCCAATTCTCTTATTAATTTGCATCTACCGAAGCAGGAAATATTCCAAAAAAACAGTTTAAAAATTCAAACACGTTATCACGATTTTAACAAATCAGAGCTGCTTTCGCATCGTGTTACAAATTTATTATTAATGCTTGCACACAATGTTTTTCTCAAGGCGATTTCGTAAATTCACAAGATAAAACAAGAAACAATATAAGCAAAGGAAAGCGTGCTTTCGGAAAATATATTGCTAGTCCTTTTCTGAATTTAAAGCTTCTGTGACCTTAAAACCTATTTCTACTAGATATTTTTTTTTAAATTGTCAAGTTACGCACAATATTTTGTTAAATTAATATTTATTTGCTTCTGTAGCAGTTTTTCTTACTTTTGAGGGAGCGCACTATTCTATTTCATCGATTTTAAATCAGATTCACACATTATTTCAATATTTTCTTTGACATTTCAATATAATTAATTTTCTCTGCGTTTTAAATCCCATCACATTGGCGGTTTTACTTTTTTTTACAGATTTGCTTGTTTCAGATAAATCAAAAAAAGGTTTTTTTCTTTGCAGTTTTGGCGTAAAATCGAAGATAATTTTTTTTTCTCTTATTGTAAACTCAATCCGGGGACATACTGTATAAAAAAACAAGTTTTTAAGTAAGAAAGGCTTATTGAAAAACCCATCAAATGGTTTTTATACGGTTGTAAAAGCGGGTGTGCAAAGATCTTAGGCAGAAATAAAAAAAATACTTTGAGGTAACATTGAGTTGAATAAAGTTTGTTTGTTATAAATGCAAAATTTCATATTTAGTTTTCGTCTAAGACTTAGTAAAAACAGTTTTCAACAGAACAACAGGAAGTTTTATTCATTCAAAGTTTAATAAGTTTAAAAACGGCTTAATGCATTTTGTGATTAATTTATAATACGAGTAGTACATACTTCCATTAAAATTTTAATATTTTGTTGCTTATAGGAAATGCTAGAGGAAGAAATGAATAGAAAATATATCATTTTTGGTAAATATGAAAATAACATTAGTACTGACAATAAAGGCAATCGTCCGAATTTTTGTAACCTCAGTAATTCATTTCAAGCGTTTATTCTAATTTTATACGCACTCTATTACAAGTTTTACTTAAAATGCCAATTTTTAAAGGCAATTATCTATATTGAAGAAGTTGTGATGCAATTTTTATCCCATCTTGCTGTTGCTTAAAACAATTTTTTAGGGTTTAAATCTGGTAATTCTTTACTCCTCTTTTCTTTGTATTTCAAATAATTAATTTTTACTTAGTTATAAAGTTTTCAATTTTTTTGATAATCATGTTTTAACTGCAGTATTGTTGTGACTTTATCTTAATTAAGCTTTTATAACATATCGCAAGTACGTATACAGGCTGTCTCAGAACTCGCGAATCAGAGAAAAATGCCAAATAAGATATAGATATTTGTATGACAATAAATAAAAACAAAGTACATAAATGAAGCTTTGAAAATAGACAACCAAGTTTTAGCTTCTGCCGACCACTCATGAATTTCGGTGTAGCCTCCTTGAAAACTCGTAAGTCGACACTCTTCGACAATATGTTGACCATTTATTGAAATTAACCATTTATTTATTGAAAAGTTGAACATCTTTTCCAGAGTTTCTTTACTAAAAGTTTTCTTCTTAAAACAATGTTGGACAGTACTGGAAGCCATTCAGTTGCTTGTATGTGAACTGTTCATCCATTCAGCACTGCAATATTCTGCCGTTGAGAAAACTAATGCAAGAGCTGTGATTCAAAGAGTTTTGGCATTAGCACTTCAAGTCGAAACATCTAACTTTTCTAAATTTTATTTCTTGTTTTCAGTTTTTGTCTAATTTTTTCCAGGTGGAACTTGTAGATAAGGGAACAGTCAAGATTGACACTAAGGTAGACCGGATGAATGTTGTGCCTAAGTGGTATTTCATTTAATGAGATATTTATTTTCTTATCTTTTTAAGAATTTGACAAATGAAAGCAAGAAACTTCTGTTTTTGATGGGCTTAGACACAGACGCCACTGCTTGAAGTAATCACACAAAACAGAAGCATCATGGTAAAGTTGTTTTTTTAGTTGATTAAATAAGATAAGATGCCAGGAACATGGAAAAAATGTTAAAAAATTCTACCTATAAAAATTTCGAAATTATGGACTCCGATGGAAAAATAATCTTAATTTGCTGCAGGTTATTAGAACAGGAAATAAAAAAGCTGTATCCTGAATTGTAACTATATTTAAGGTTATTTGTGGCTTTTATTGGAAACATTTTCGTATTGTACCTTTTCTGAATTATGAAAAAACATACACAAGATCATTGGTAACAATAGACATTAAAAAAAAGAAAAAACTGTCAAAATTTTTTGACAGAGTTTTCCATGCTTTCCATGCTTCTTGTATATTATCCTATTTAACATTTTTCTATGGGTCGCGAGATTTGAGACACTCTGTATGTCTGGATGTTTTATTAGCCACGCCACACTCTTGTCAATGAGATCCCGTAGAAACAATTTTGTGATGAGAATTGAACTCAATAATTGATGTTTGAGCTGTGAGATTTAAATCACTTTAGTTAATATCGCAAATCAATTGTAAATTTAGTTAATAGTTTCAGAATGAAAATTTATTGCAAAAGTCGTTTAGTATGTTAATTAGTCCCCACTTTAACATTTTTTGCTGGTGTGAGTACAATTAGGAGCTTTTGACGTTTTAGTCTTTAAGTATTCTCATCGTTTAAATATTTCGACTTGAAACTTCAAAGCCCATTAACCACAGATAATTTTGTAAATTATGATATATGGAAAGGGACAGGGACATTTTGCACGCCCAAGGGTTTGTGAGAGTGATTTAGGTTGACGCAGAGAGTAAACGCTGATATTGCCTTCATTCAAGTTTAATTGATAGAGCAATCACCGTCATCATGCGTTTCACCGTCCCAAAAACACAACTTAATGTACTTATGGAAATTAATGAGATTTTTGTAACATTGTTAGACCCAAATTTATGACAGTGTCGTATTTGGAAAATATTACCACTTATCTTCTTGTTGATAAAATATTGTATTGAAAATCCTCTAATTTATGGTTTTGCTTTATCGTCCAACTGAAATATTACCTATGATTTCAATATCTAGCCCATTTCTCATTTGGGTTTTATGCAGCACAAAATTATTCCTTTCAAGTCAATTTTGAGTAAATCTCGGGAAAAAGAATAATGCGTTTATACAACTTTTCCAATTATGATAAGAACCCGAATATTTTTTTCCTTCTTAACAACTGATTAATTGGATTTCTTTTACTGTTTCGTTAGCAACTATTACTTTTTCATTAATCACGTGATCGAAATCCAGAGCGAATTAATCCGAAAAAATCAAACAAAACTTTGCACACT